GAAGAATTACCGAGAATGTTCCAAAATAGCGACCTTACTTCGAGGTGTATATTCAATGCAAATCCCTTGAACAGGCGGACGAAATGTTCGGTGGAAAATCGAACATGGACGGCGTGGGGCAGATCCTCTCTGGCATCGGGACGTTGTTCGCCGGAAATGGGAATCGTCAGGGTTTCGACTACTCGGTGATAGGCTCGGTCCTCGACGGCATGATGAACACGAACCAGAACACCAAAAGAGCAGCAAAAGAGGTTGACACGGAGCAAGAACCCAGCCTGGATCTGGGAGGCCTGCTGAACCTAGGAAGCATGCTGTTCGGTCAGAACAGGAACCCCGACGTCGTGATGGGAATTCTGCCCATGCTGATGCAGAATTTCGCGGGAAGCAACGAGGTCGACGGCGATTCCGAAAAAGTGCACGACCACTCTGGCCACTCCTGGTACATGCCGCCAATCCTCGAGAACATACACGTGATGTGGGAGCACTTCAGCAACTCCGAACTGGGTCAAACGTTGTGGAAGAACAGCGGACTAGCGCAATTCGTCGGTCAGATGTCCGACTCGGATGGTCGTATCCGGTACGAGCAAATTTTGGACAGCTTCGAGAACCCCTCTCTGCGTCGACGATGGATCAGAGTGTTGACGAATTACGTGGGGGAGTGGATCTCCCACGTCAGCGACCCGCAGATCCAGCAGCGTTATTTGAACACGGTGCAATTCGTGGGGAACAGCTTCCTCAAGTCGCAAGGGTTCCCGAAGATGGCCATGTTCGACGCTATGAGACCAATGGAGAGCCTCTGCAGGTAATCAACTAGTTATATACTAGATATATCAATATTCGTGTACCCTCTATGTATATCGAAGAAGTTTGACTAAATTAAGTAATAGTTTTGATATTGCTAAATGAATTTTTCGTTATAAAATGCGGGAGTTCGAACGAAAAATAAGGTACGGAGATTCGAACCCACGATCCTCGGATCCAAAGTCAACCGCTTTACCTACAAGACCATCAATCCTACCACTTAATTGAAACAAATTTCTACAATAGATATAGAGGCTACGAATATTTATGGACCTGACTGTATTTAATAAATGTTATTCGAGTAACGTTTGATGATGATCGACAGGACGATAGACGCGATCGCGAAGAGACATTTGAGCATGAAGGTGGACAGCTCGCAGTACATTAAGCCAGCGGTGGCGTACGTTCAGGAATTAATTAGCCTAGCTTCGGAAAAGGGATTCATAATGTCTCGAGTGAACGCCAGGGAGATCAGCAACAGACTCAGCGACGTGATCAACAACGATATCATTGATCCCATGTTGAAGGTGAGAAATTAGTAACGTAACACAGATTTATTAACGGTAAGGTTTAAATTTCTGTTTGGAACTGACACCGTGGGTCGTTTTTATAGTCTTATCGAGCGTACAAGTGGGCGATCAAGAGTCCCCAATGCGCCAGTCAGATCTTGTGCTCCATAAACGAGAAGAACGAACAGGACGGCAAACAGTCGCCTCTGCGCGACGGCGTGCTGAAGGTGACCAGTTTCCCTGCCGCCTGGGCCGTCAGCAACAAGCTGGGAACCAGTTTCTGGATCTTGTACGGCGCCATCACGGAACACGACAAATGCATCGTAAGTTGCATGCTTTGAATCCCGGCGCTGTTAATAAAACTCAACGATAGGGAAAGAATTGAATTACAGGAAGATAAGTAACGCTGTTAGGCGGGCGAGCTTAACCCTTTGACTACAGAATGTTTTTTTCTGGAATCTGCCAGCAACTCGAGATGCTTTCTTAGCATTCTCTTGCCACGAATGCTAAACTTAAATTGACTTTGGAAACACTCTCCCATCTAACAAAGTATTCAAGGAACACCTAGATGTTGCTTTGTACCGCAACCCACAAAGGGTTAATACGTGATCTTTCCTCTTCTTTCTACGTCGTATAGTCCTCAGCGTTCACCCTCTGATCTTTCCTGTGATTTTCAGCAAAAGTATCCAGCCAACTGCACGGAGTTCCACGAAGAGGAGGTTCGCGTTACCACGGAGAGCGTTCACAACGAACTTTGATCTCCGGTCGAGTGTTCCCTCGTGAAAGACATTCCCGATGACAGAAGTCAATAACAAAAACACGTGGACCGTCGTGTGTCGTCTCTCGTTTATAAGATGTGTTTGCTACGCGCGACAAGGCGTAATCGATTTATTATATTAAGAGGCTCGATCCACCGGTAAAAGTCGACGTAGGTAAAGGGACGCCGCTGTTTAAAATCCCTCTACCTTCTTCGCGTGTACATACGAATAAGAAAAAAGGTACCGTGGACGTAGCGCAATAGCATAGGCGATTAATTTCTGACAATTTTTTTATTTATTGTGATTTTGAGAAAGGATTCTTTTGTTTTGTTTTACGTTGCACAACTATTCCAACAGTAACTTTGCGGTGCCCGACGACGTTCGTTCGAAGTGTCTGGAAAACGCTGCGGTACAGTTAGGCGTGAAGGCACTGGTTACGATTACTTTGACTTTTCGTTATATTTATTTCCACTAAAGGAACCTATACAAATTCTATTTCACGAGAAGACCGTGATTCGTTACAACAGACGAGTTCTTAGGGGCACCGTCATTTCGAGCCAAGGAGAGCTCGAGAAGAGACGGAAATCCGTTTGAAATCTGTTCGATGGCGCGCGCCCGTTTGCACCGAATTTATAAGGCGTTTTGTCTGCAACAGTTCTTGTAAATATTAGGTAAAAGCCAAATAAAACGTATGATGGATGTATAAGACACATCGTGGACCGTTTCGTTCCACCTTGCAACCTCCACCCATCCTTCGCCGTTACTTCCTCTTGATGTTTTTGCACGCCCACTCGAGGCCCTCCTGAAACATTCGAAATACCTTTTAACCCTTTCCATTCCGAATTATATTTCAATTTCGTTACCTCCGACGCTTCTAAGTGTTTTATTTGAAATTTACTTTAACTAAAAAATAAGGCAATTTAAATAAAGAAAGAAAGAAATTCACTTAAATACCAGTTTTATTCACGCTATAGTCGTAGTTTATAACTTTCAAATGTATGATATCGATTCGGACATGAAAGAAATGTTCAAGATATTAGGTGGATTGGAAAGTAATGTCGTTTTTTCAATTTCAAATACTTGTTTATCACTCACTAGCTCGTTGATTTTTATCGATCTGGCATTCAAAATTTTTACACTAAGGTGGCAAAAGGATGTTGATAACGAGAGCGATTACATAATTGATTAGAAAAAGGAATTTATTAATAATTAGTTTGAATTTAATGTAAGATAAACGACATTACTTTCCAGTCCACCTAATAAAAACTCTCCCGAGATAAAAAACTGATGTCAAGTCACACTCGACATAGGAGCGCAAAGGGTTAAGCTTGTATCGATCGTACGCGATCGCTAGTTTACAGTTAGCGTACCTTTACGCCTTTTCCTTCGGTGGCGATGCACGACTGTATCTGCCAGTCGCGATCCTTGATGTTGTGCAATCCCAGGCCTTCTGCGATTTCAGCTGCGGTTACAGCCTGTCCGAGATCCTGTTTATTCGCGTACACCAACAACGGAACTCCGCGTAGTTTCTCTTCCAGCAAAAGTTCGGATAACTCTTGGCCCGTCTCCTCTAGTCTCTTTATGTCGGCGCTGTCCACGACGTATATCTTTGTAAAAAGAAAACTGTTCTCATACTATGCTCTCTATTTTCTTTAGAGAACATCGAAATCCAGATCGCTCACCAGGACGTCCGTGTTCTCGAAATAATTTCGCCAGTACGGTCGAATTTTTCGAGCACCGCCTATATCCCAGACGTTCAACTTGAAACCCTCGCTTTGCACGCTTTTTATATTGAACCCCTGAGTTGGCGTTACCTTAAACAAACATTCAAATAATTTACTACTGTGAATAGTTTAACACGAAGAGGTGGGAATTTTGTATTTTCAAGTTTATGCTGTAACTAAATGAATTGGGACAAAAAACATGAAAAAAAAAAAATGCCATGGGAATTCTGTCCTATAAATGGTTAAACGCGACTCGTATAAATATCGAGATGCATTTTATACCTGTGTAATGTCTTCGTTGGCCAAAGATTTTAAAATCGTTGTTTTTCCAGCGTTGTCTAACCCCAGAAGAAGCAAACGCAACTCTTTATCCGGATTGGAGCGCAGTTTCCTCAAGATTGATAAGAGTCCCTGTTGTTGGATACAAAGGGAATTTAAATTGGTACGATAATAGGAAACTATAGTTTATCTATAGTCTTCTACTTAGGAACACCAAACATTTAAATTTAAATCGCGCGCTTTTCGAGATAGCAGACAGAATTGCGACGCACTGTCGAGTGCGAAACGCATTACGGTGCTCTTGGAAAAAGTTGAGGAATTTTTCGTTAAAGCATAGATATCGAACGTAGAGTGTTAAAGGAACAATTGACACAGAGATAGAAGATTTTCTGTTGAACGAAATACATCGTTGTAAAATAGTTTGCGCTGAAATTCGAGGGTGCCGTGATTGTCAGGTTATGTTGTACACGTCTCGTGCATTGACAGATACGCTTCTAGCTGTTGAAAGGGGTGCAGAATAAAACGTTTCGTGCTCCTTTAAAGTCGATTATTCTTTATTCGTTACCATATTCCGTTTGTTTGTTAATCAACAGGAACAAAAATCTGGTGACTCTTTAACTACGGCGAGTTGCTGTCTTGGTTATCGTCTGCAGAGTTTGTGTTGTTTCCTTCGTATCTAAGGAAACTGGTGCTATACCTTTACATTTCGACCAATAATCTTTCACACGATGCGCGTAAAGACGCGACACTTCGAATAGAAACTTTGTCGCTTCGTTTAATACGGAGAATTCGATTTCTACAGCCAAGGAGATTGTACCCTTGACGTGTAGTTTCTTCTTATTTCTGAATGTACACATAAGTCAAGCTTATACTTAGAGTTCAATAAGGTGCATAAGCAGTATTTGTTCACAAAGAATTTTATTGGTAGAAACACGATGCTTTATTATGCTGGTTTCAATACCAGTACATTGTTTTCCAACAGCGAGGGAGTAATTTTTGCTGTAGATTCGTTTACAGAAATTCCATTTCCTGGAATTACAGAGTTCCAAATAGGTTGGAGTTATTTTCTACTTTGGAGGGAGAAGGAATTGTATATTTGTAAGAAGGCTCAAGAAAATATTACAGATGATAATATCATATTAATACAAATACCAGAGAAACCGTTAGACAGGTACAGCGTGTGTACCGGAATATCCCTCCCCAAATGTATTCTACTCCAAGTTTTATAGTTACTTTTTGTAGTTGTCGACAAGCTGCAGTTGGCAAAGACAGTATAGTAATCGTATCGATAGACAATGAAATGTGGAGATATAAGATTTATGAAAACTCTTGGAATAAGGTGACCAACTTTATTCCAAGCAATGATGATTTGAAAGATGAATATCCAGTTAAAGTTTTACAAGGAGGATGTACGGTAGTTCTCACCAATTTAGGTACATACAATTCTCAAAATCAGAGAAACGATAAGATTTGCATACGCGTTAATTTATACTCTAGGTCGTGCGTTTAACGTTCCAATATTGGTTGATATGCCAAAGAGGGTAAAGTTTGTAGACGTCGCTTGCGGATTCGATCACGCTATCTTACTGGCGGAAAATGGTGACGTTTATTCAATGGGAATGGGAACGTACGTACTACCAGCATAGCGTCTCTATCGTATCCGCGATTAAATGAAAAGATACGGTTTGTAAAAATAGGCGCGGTCAGCTAGGACACAATGATTTGGAGGACTGTGACGATCCAAGGATTATTGAGGCTTTAGCTGGTCTCAAAGTCGTTCATATTTCCGCCATGGGTTGGCACAGTGCGGTGGTTACGGATCAGGTGAATATTTTCACAGGATGAATCGGATCAAAACTTTTCGTAGAAAATATTTTTAAATTATAGGGTGACCTTTACACGTGGGGATGGAATACGAATGGAGAGTTAGGGTTACCTGGCCAAGCCAGCAAAGTAGTGGCTGTGCCCACGGTGGTAGATTTTACAAACGATCGAAATGAGAACGTAGAGATGTCCGTGAAAAAAGTCGAATGTGGAAATACATTCACCGTTTGCATGATGGGTACGTGTTTCTAAGCGTTCAAAGTTTAGGGAAAACAAAAATACGAAATATTAGCGATTATTTACGATAGCGCCGTTCTCGCTGACTATTGTAAATAATTACCGAAAGATTCGTCTTTCCAACAGATGACGGAACGCTTTGGGGTTGCGGATCTAATAAGTACGGGCAGTTAGGACAACCTCGAGAGGCACTACCGAACTCCCCAAAGTTTGTCAAACTCGAAGTGCCTGCAAATATTAAAGACTTCAAGTGTCGCGACTGGGGAACCACGCTCGTAACCGATTGATCTTGTAATCTTTCACGGATAATAATTTCTCAAAAAAAAAAATAAAAAAAAAATAAAAAAATAAATAAAAAGATGTTTTTCCATCGTCCGTTGAATTCTCCTGGTTTACCGCGTGTCCTCGTACTGTTCAAATATTTCCAACGCATTTTCTGCTTCTATCAGCGGTAAAATAAATTTACGCTTGTTCGTTAACATCTCTTCGTCTGTTAGAGAAGGCGGAGGAGTCACGGGTACTTCCGGTTGTGTTTTTTTCTTTCTTTTACCTGTAAGATAGAAAAAAAATGTTAATACGAAAAATAATTATTTTGTCGGAGACATTAGAAGAAGCATTCTACAACACCTGTCGTTTTCTTCTCCGATTTTTTCGATTTTCCAAATCTCTGCCGAAGTTTCACGTCAAAAGGCATCGACATAGGATCTGCCAGCTTCACTGGCCGTGGTTCTCGAAGAACAAATGGCAGTTCACATATTTCCAATTCTATTGGCTCAACGAAGACTGCGTAGACGAGGGTGTAACGAAACTCGTTGGCGTACCTGCTCGATGAAAATTATTTTAGTAACATTCCGGCACTCGTGTTGCTTATCCTCCTAATTAACGAACTTACATGTCGTATGTACATTCCATCAGGGCATCCAACGCAAGAATTGGGTCTACGTTGCTGAAAGGTTTCTCGATTTCTTCCGACACGGATGACGATGGATTTTCGAGGCTATCCGAGAATGTTTCTTTTCTATTTACTTCCTTCTTGACATTGCTGCGTGACTCTTTGCTTTGCCTTTTCTGCAGACTTGTGGAAAATACGAAACATAGACACTCGAGTTAAATAGAATTTACAGACCAACGAAAGCGGTTGATTACTTTTTCGTTGACTCTCGTTTCGACTCGTTTAAAATCGACGAACGTTGGTCGTTCACCGAATGCTCTTCAACTTCCGCTTTTTCCGTGTCATCGTTAGACACGATTTCGTCCCAGTAAGGCACTCGATTCTCTTCGGTCACTTTAGAAGCAGCCACGTTGAAAATCTCTTTCATCTCTTCGAGAAACGTCTCACGAGGATGCTTCTTATCTGCCAATGAACGAAAATTTCAAGCAGAAAGTAAGGAGCTATGCATACAGATTTAAATTTTAATTTTTTTACCTCGAATCAACGTCATTTCCCCAGCCAGCCAACTGATCAAGACGCTCAAGTAATAGCCATCGAGGTTCTTTTTGTTCTGTAGAACTTGAAGCGCTAACGTGTCTAGGAACCAAAAGGAAGCCATGTTTGTCTCGTAGTCGGTGATCTCGAGAGCATTTCCCAGCGATCTGCGGAAATACGAAGACTCTACACGCTTTAGTACCATTATTTCGATACAAGAATAAATATTCTAACTCGATGAGATCCTGTGGTCTCTCGCTCTCGATTCTGAACGATGTTCCGATCATGCTCTTGAATTTAGATGGAAGGGTCGCCAGAAACTTTTTCTCAGGTTCGACGAAGACTTCTGACCGATCCATCGACTGTCCATCGGGTTGCTAGCAAATTTTTAACCGAATCGAATTTCGCTAACTCTTATCGTGGATTCGCATCGACACCAGTGTCGGGCAAAATGTAATTCACGATTACCATTACCGAATAACCAGTACTCGGGTTTAATGATTAATCGGAAACCATTATCCATGCAAGATTACCAATTAGTGATTTATAATTGCATATTACAAATGCAATTTACGATTACTGATTAATGACAATTGCGCACGCGCGAATTTACCACGTAACGCAACTAACGAAGCGTCGAGCTTTCGCGTGAAAGGGGCCACGGGGGTTGACAACGATGATATTACTTCTATAAAATGTTTGTAACTATTTGAAAAGTAAAGTAGAGGAAATGACCACTGCTGTAAGACCCAACACTGGTCGACATCTACCGACACAAAGTTTCCCGGCATCGTCGAAAATCAGGAACCGTGAAAGTTGAATGCAAAGCCATGGGACTGACGTTTCGTTGAAGGCTGTCCGCGATAAGGGCTGTTCGAGAGGCTCGAATACCGAATTTTTCGACGTGTGACGGATAAATGACGCGCACGTGCACCTCTTTGCATTCGATCCTCTCGGCGTCGACGTACGCCGCAGATGAAACGATTACAGCTAGGAAACCGAACCTCGTTTTCGGTTTCACCGGGTGGATCGCTTTCGTTCTTCGTATTCGACATTTCTGGTCTCCTTTGGTCGATTCTGTAACGACAGTACGGGAAAATGCACGCGGGATCGGCACGTCTCTTGTTCGAATCGAGCGATGTCGAGGTGTCGCGATGAAAAATAATGAAACAATCGAGGAAGAACGGTTCGTTCATTGTTTTTTTTTTTTTTTTATTCATTGGTTTTATTTTTTAATTTTTTTTCCATATTTTGTTCAATATTTTCAGAAAATAACACTCCAAAGCGAAAAAACCGTATATTCTCACCAATCCCAATGTGTGTATAATATATATATTATACTTCTCATATATAATATATATGTATATATATATATAATATATATATATAATGTATACTTTTATACTTTATATATAATAATATTATGTAGAGTAGCGCACACTTTAGACTGTTATGTATCGATACCGTTTTAATAATTTTATCGATAAATTACAAATATTGAAAAACATGAAACAGACACAGCAGGCGAGGACGCGGGGAGTTTCGCTTATTCTCGGGGACATCTTTTTACTTGCGGAACCGTGAAAAATGATTCTTTTGGTCTCAGCGACGTGTTATTGGTCGGGGGTCCCGTTTACCTCGGTAGTTCTCCGATTGAATAATCGGATTCGGTGCTCGATCGACGTTTCGTTCTCGAGAAAGAGGTCGAAGATTAGGGAAGACCGACGGTCGAGGAAACAAACAGAATGTCTCGCCGCGTGGAACGTCTTTCCCATTGTTCGCTCTTTCTCCTTTTCTTTTTTCTGTTTTCTTTTTTCGTGGAAAAGCGCGCGGAGAACAGCCGAGAAAGCTGAGAGAAACGGGAAACTCGACGAACCGTGCGCCCCTCGGGACACTACTAAACAGCTATATACTATATCGTATAGGTCGCTCGAAAATCCCCGAGTCCCGGCGCGACTGACAATTTTTTTTTTTTTTATTTATATATTTTCACACCGAAGTCAGAAAGGCAATACGCAGTATGAACTTACTTAGTACATTTGTGTGTGTATGTGTGTACGCGTATGTGTGTGGCTTTTATAACTATTTCCCATTTTTTGTTTCTCTCTCTGTTTTCTATATATATATATATTTTTTTTTTTTTTTCATTGGGTGTGGTTGTTACTGTGGTAGTTTGTTACTGTTGTATTCCGTATCTTGTTCATGTCTTTTGTTTGTATGTTTGCTTCCACGCGTTCCTCCTGCTTCTTTGTATGGAATTCTGTTTTTTAGGTCTACCGGAAGGTTCTGTTCGGTCGGCTCGCTACCGCGAACACGCTAGAAATGTTTCCGAACAAATTCAAAACGATCGATACGATTAGAATGACGGGTAAAAACGCCTCTTTGTTCTCTACGCTCCGAAGGATACCTTCGTTCGATTCTCGATGGCCTGTGTCACCTTGGATACTCGCGAATCGTTGCTTCTAGATTTATGCAACTCTGTTTGTACCGTAAATTTGCGTAACATGGAACCGCGTTACTCGTTGGAATTCGGATAACACGCAAATAAGGAGAATAGAGTTATGATTTGATCAAAGGGATCACAGTAAGCTATATAGATACTTTCCGATAGGTGCAAACCCCGTGGAACACGGACAGAACGTTCGGGTAGAGCTAACGATAATTCTTCTTTTTCGTTCGCCATCTTAGCGATCGCGTCTTATAACCTCTTGCCGCGTCGATCGGTATTCCTTTTCAACCTGTTCTTTTTCGGCGTTTACTTTTCGGTGCCTTATCTTCTTCCTTTTGCATCTACGTTTCTAATTACACGTGTGCTGGTTGGACCGTTTTCGTTCCATCTTCCCCCGTTTCTTCCCGAGTCTCGTAAAATCATCCGGCGATACGTGACTGCTCGGAGGGTTTTTCTTTTTGCGGGGTGAGAATCGTATACAGACGCAGCCAATGAAATCTGAACTGAAAAATAACAAACGGAAAATAGAAAAGCATAAAACAATGAACTCTAGACCGAAGCGCCGAAGAAGAGAAAGGTGGGATATTTAGGTAGAGAGCCGTGATTTCGAATCGCCTCGTCCGCTTCTTTCCTTCTCGCTCTTCCACCGTGACGCAAGACTTGTGTTTTTTTTTTTTTTCTTTTCGTACAGGTAAAAGGAAAAGAAATCGCGCGATTCTCCACGGTCGTCGAAGGGAAGAAGTAATCACTTACGACAACTGCTGGCGAAACGCAAAATAAAAAATTAAAAACCGAGGAAATTAAATATTTTCAATCGATTTTATTGAAAATAATACAACAAAATATCTCATAATAATAATAATAATAATAATAATAATAATAATAATTAAAAATAATTAATAATTAATGATACGTACTGTTCTATTCGATATCTAAATAATCATGTCTTAAAACGTTGTTTAAATAATAATAATATTATCATCGGCATTAATCAATGTAATAAAATAATAATAAAGGCAATAAAGTTAATAATAATAATAATAATTATATCATAGAATAATGCATCAATAAACAAACTTAATAATCTAATTATTGGTTAATGATTCGTCATCGTCCTCGATCGCTATCAATGGATCTTTTTTCTTTACCTAGTCATTAATAATGGATAATTAATTAATTCATTAATTAAATTACACGTTGCTTGGATATGCACATAGAGATATAAAGTCGTTTTTGGTCCCACCTAACTGCAAACGTTATATTCATACAACATTATTTTTTTTGTTTGTTTTGTCGTCGCATGGATCGCTTTATATGTATATGCGTGTGTATCGTGTGTGGATGTGTGTGTGTGTGTGTGTGTGTGTGTGTGTGTGTGTGTGTGTGTGTTGTCCTTGTACAAGTGTAGGTGTTTCGTTACGTGTGCTCACGTGTTTTGCGAAAAACTATTGGTTTAACTATCGGTAAAGCTGTCGTTTCTCGAAAAAATTTGTAATCGCGTATACACATGAAAATGTTCCGTTCGCCCATTATAAAATCGCCTTCTGCTCGTTCCTTTATCGCTACTATATTCTTTACAATTGTATCGTCGTTCACGGCGTATCGTGTCCCGTGGTGAAATAAACGAACGAAGGAAAAACGAAAAGAACAGAAAGGAAAACTCGATCTTGGGGTATCAACAACATTTCGCGATCAAAAGCGATGCGCGCGGCCGTGTTTTGAAACTTCACGCTTCTATCGCGGCTTCGTTTTTCTTTCCTCCGAAACGTAATTTCCATAAGTTTTCTTAATTTCCTTCGCGCCCTGGTATCCAACGACTCGCTCGGTTCCTCAGTTTCTCGGCGATCAATGGGACGTGTTCCCATTCGGTTCTCTCTGTTACATCCCAGAACGAAAAAATGAAAAAAAAAAAAAAACTTTTTACAACTGGCATTTCGTTATGCTCCTTTATAGTACGTACGCTTAAGTTACCTAATAACATTACTCTCACTAGATACATCACCGTGCGAAGAGGAACGCGTCTGGCCACGTCGCCATTGCGGCCCTTAATCTTCCACGACAACATTTTACAGCCAATCGAGATAATTTCCACGCGGTACCGCCGCAATTAAACCTAATTTGATCTTTCTCATTAAGGCTAGATTACGCGAATTTTACTTAACAATTTCTCGCACGAATACTGCTTTCTATCAGTCGCATAGTTTTCGATTTAGCCTGGTCACCAACGTTGCTCGCGAGTCCACCGCACCTTCTCTCTTCCCTTGCCTCTTTTATTCCAATAACGCGCAACGAGTGTTCGTTAAATTATCATTTCTATCGAAAGAGCGACGATTAAGCGTCGTCTCCTAATTTGTATGAATTTATTTCTTTCGCCCCACCTCTGCGATACTTGTTTAGTTCGCGCTTCAATCGCTATTTCGGGCTTTTATTCTTTCGAGAGAGCGAGAGCGAGAGAGAGAGAGAGAGGGGGTGCACTGTTCGGAAATCGATAGGAAAAGGCGCAGTTGACTTGCAGCAAACTCGACGCACTCGAACCAGACTGCACGTGGGTGTAATGCCAGTTGTACGCTTCCTCGGAGACGAATCCCGCTATTTTGGGGGAAATCGTGCGCTTCGACGACGAACGAAATACGAATTTCGTTGGATTCTTCGAAACGTACGCGTCACAATTAACTGTAGTCGCTCGCACGCTCCACTTGCTAGCAGATGCAAGACGTTACGCATCGCCGACACGTTTAAACGGAATGTACATGATTTACAAAGTAAGGTAAGCGTAATGTTCGCCCGCGGAGAGTTGCACTATAGCAGGGATAGGCAAAATGTTGCGCCTAGTTCTTATTCATTTGGAATATTCGAGTATGATTTCATTCTGTAATTCGGATTGTAATTTTCATTCGTCGTGTAACGAACGAAAAGCCGTGCATTTTATATTTCTCGATCCAGATTTGCCCATCTCCGAGAAAAAAAAAAAATGTCGAATCAGAGCGCACGTTTTCCCTTTCGTCTCGACGTTCGCGACTCTTCGTGACAGTCCACGTGGCTTCGCGGAACGCGAAGAAATCTTTGTTCGATCGTCGTTGGTCGTTCACCCCGCGGTGAAACAAAACGATTTATCTGTTCTTGGAAGCCACGTCGATCGGCCTATCGAACGGTCGGGTAGCATCGTTAACATATCTTCAAATATTATAACCTCACAACCATTTTGACAACAATCAACCTTCAACAAAAGACCGTCCTACATCAAAGAATCTTTAAAAAATGCGTCAGCCCGCGAATCGACTTCCGGCGGTGCTCGCCTCGCGTGTCTTCCAGTCTTCCATCTTCGTCGAGTCGCTCGAGAAAAAAAAAAAAGAAACGATTTCGTTCGGTTGGATTCCAGTAACCGGAAGTCGAGCTTGCCGGCTGACGTATCACATGTTTCAAAGCTGCGAACCACGTACTCGCGATTTGTTCGTCACTCGCCACTCTCGTCCATTCGCGATCCGCTGGAACGCGACTCAAAAGAATGCCCATGGTACATATGTCTTTTCTTTCTCGTTTAAGCTTCGACTTCGACCGTTCGTCGCGTTTACAGCCATTGTTCTCGAGGACGCGCGCACCAAAGTCTCTTTGAGCCCACTGGAAATTCTATTTAACGTTATTTCAAACGATTGTCGTTGAATCCCTAGTCGATGTTCCCCGAATCTCCGCGTAGCGACGTATTTTCATTGGTTAAACAATTCGGATAACAGCGTTTAGCGTTTTGGAGTAGATATAACCCGTTCGACGAGATTTAGAAAAAAAAAAGAACAAAAAATGGGCGACGCATCGATGGATGTAACCACGAGAGATGTTCGGTCGGTGACTGTGCCGAAATCGAATCGTGTTTCCATCAGGCCTGAAGTATTATCGGTAAATTTCCAGCGGGTGTCGGGCGACCGATTAACAATTATCGGCCGGGCTGGTTTCATTGGTGCGCGTGACCATCCCGAGTTACGCGTTCTCGATCCATCGGACGAGCGTCGATCGTTGGTCGATGGATCACGGTTCCGAGAAACCGTGTTCCCTCCGACTCGAGCGAGCAGTCGTCGATCGGAGTGTTCCTCGCCCGCTGGATCCGCAAATCAAGCGATCAACAAAAGTAACGTTTACTAATTACAATTGATTTAAAACGATATTCCTAATCGCGCTACGATTACGTACGCCAACTCGATGAATATTCTGTACAATTCTCGTGTATCCCGCGTCTCGAGTGTGTAGCTCTTTCGCTTGTGTACGATTCGTAATAGTCGCGCGAGGAGACTTTGTCCCCGAGGTCGAGGCGGACCTCGTTCGTTCAGGGGCAATTTCCCCAGGCGCGAACGGTACCTGCGTTACGTCCGTTCGTTGCCCGATCGAAACGTATCGATACAACAGGATGATCGTACAACAGGTGACCAAACTTTGGGGCGTATTTTCTAGGCTACGAACTCCGTCTCCTTTATCGATGAAATTTTTAAGGTAATTCGGAAAGTAACTTTCACGCTGGATATATGCTCCCACTGTTTGGCCAGGCAATTCGTAATCACCCTATACATATATTTCGCATGCAACTACGTTGGTCTAGAATGTACACGGTAGCGTCGTTTCCGTACATCTTTTTCACCGTCTGTCGGTGACGCGTACGCGTCAATCGTGTGTACTTTGTGTGTGTGTGTGTCTAAGTGTGTGTCTAAGTGTGTTTGTAAGAGGTACGGTTTTGTGTATGCCGTCTCGTGATCGATCCCGCTGTGTTCCTCCAACGTGCTCCCCCGCCTCGTCTTTAGTGAAACGGGTGATAAAGGAAAAGCCTTCGTAAACGAAAGAAGATGGTGCAAGTTCCCCCCGGCCGAAGAGAAGAAAGTGAGAAGAAGAATCGCTATCCGATTAAAGGGGGGAAAAAAGGGCCGGTGTTCTCTCTTGCACTTGGACGTAGGGCTACCGTGGACGAACTCAAAGGGCCCCCCCGAGTTTCGATCGAACGCGACGCCGACGGCTGATTGGCTCGAGCGGCTTCGCGAGAGATTAATTAATCGTCAACGAGATAATATAAGCGACGCGCGCGCGCACGCGTCGCTTAGATATTTATCTATATATATATCTATATATATATATATATATATATAGATAGATAGATAGATATATTTATATGTATATATATATAAACGACAGCGCCTACCGCCATAAGAATGACCGATAATCGATATATAATCATCGCGGTGTAAACAATAAATGGCGACACGTATATCGAGAGGTCTCGTATTTATATATATATCTATGTAACGCTTTGGACGCGCCTCAAACTCCTCCCTTTCGATACGAAACGATAATATATAACTGTAAAATCCATGTGGAATATAAAAAATATTCTCTTGACGTTTCCTACCTAACTATATGAAACACTGCGCTAAGACTGTATACTTCGTTACGAAACGTATATACGCGCGCTGGCGCGCGCGCCTGCGGGTGCGCGCGCGCGCGCGTGTATGTGTGTATGTGTGTATGAACGCGTGTGTTGCTTGTTTCCTATGCGTGTACGCGAGAGTTACGTGGATGCGTATCAGCGTCGTGTACCTTTCCTTTCGTCGCAGTGTACTTCGGGTATACTTGTGTCGTCAGTCGTACGTATGTGTGTGTGTGCGCGCGCGCGCGCGTGTGTGTGTAAGTTTGTGTATATTATGTCAGCTGTACGTACGATCTTTCTGCTCGAGCTTACGAGAAAGTGTTACGTCTAAAGAGACGAGGGGCGACGTGGGGTCCAGATTTCAACGTATACCTAACCGTAGCGCTTCGGTAATCGGGAATGCATGGTTGCACGCTTGCAGAATCTACCGCTTGCTCGCTAGAGCGAAATTACGGCGGAGAAATTAGGAAATGCCGGACCTTTGGCGCGCCTCCGTCCATACAACGGTCTCTTAACTCTACGTGAGATATGCCGCTTAACGAAACAGGGCTGAAACTAAGAGAGAGAGAAGGACCAATTCCTCGATATAACGACGCTGGCGAAGTAACCTCGTGTTCTTATATCGAGGAGGAGGGCGGAAATTAACATTTTTCAGGATGTCCTTGCGAAAGTTTCATGGACGAATCGTTTTTAACCCTTTGCGCACCCATGTCGAGTGAGACTCGGCAAAAATGTACTGAAATTGATAATGATAACAGAAAACTGGGGGTATTAATTTTTCCCTTGAAGGTACGAGGAGAGAAAGCACCGCGTGTCGTTATATCGAGGGAGATGTCCGTCCTTATATCGAGGGACTATTGTACTAGGGAGATGATGTGAACAAGGGTAGAATGAGAATAGAGCTCCGACCGGACTCGGGTTCGATCGTCAAGGTACGAAGGTTGCTTTACCCTTGTAACGCGTGCAGAAAACGTTTACGTGATTTACATTTTCATTGTACTTGACGAGCGATTTTACGAGAAAATGGACAAGATGATGAAAAAAGGAGTTAGAGATCTATAAAACTGAATATTGGCTGCGTTTACGAGGGGTGTCGACGATCGATCGTCGCGTAAACGATCGATCCGCGCGTCGGAAATACACCGTACGATAAAATACGATACGATACATTTGGAAACTTATAGCGTCTCTATACGCGGGGCTACCTAAGAAATAAGCTTTCGCCGGGCGAAAGCGTCCACGGTTCCTATAACGCGTTGCTTCGTTTACTTTACAAGATAATAAGACTGGCTCTCTGTTGCGATTAGACGAGTGTTCGACGAGTGTTTTGAGATGAGGGAACTTTTTTTTTTTTTTTGGGGGGGGGGGGGGCTGACGGATCGCGTAAAGTCTAGAGCCCTACGCGCGTTGTACGAATTTCTTTCGTTTTCTGTTCGAGTGATTCGAGTCTGTTCGACGAAGGATTCCGTTCCGAACGATCGCGTCGCGATTCCACGGGTTCCTAGTGGGCAGAGACGAACGAAATGTTACTCGGATACTGGACGATAATTAAAATCAAACGCGTAGCGATTTATTCCGCTAATTTCAATTCAAATTCTTTCTCGATAGTCGATTACATATCTTTTATTCGTTACTCGAAATTTGTATCCGCGCAAAAATTTCGCCCGTCTCTGCTCAGAGTTAGGTAAATTTCATTTCGAACGAGGAATAAAGTCTGTTTAGAACGAAACTTTATTCGAATGGTGCCCAACTCTGTCTTCGCTGAAGGGTTGCGTACCGTTGAAAACTCGAAGAAGGGAAAACAGCATTACGGTAGGTAGGGCTATAGTAATCGTGTCATAATCGCAGCATTGTAATGGCTTGTGTCTGTCTGTCCATGTGTATGCGTGTGTGTGTATGTGTGTACTTGTGTTTCAGTTTACAGAAAGTGATGCATACGTCTACGCGGTATGTACAAGGTCGATTTCTAACCTGACGCTCGGCAAACACCGCGTCGGTGTTTGCGCGATTTATGCCCAAATTAGGTTTTTACGGTTAATTAACGGTGGTCTCGCGCCTTCGCCGTGGCGAAAGCAGCGCGGAAACGCTCGCCTCCCCCTGACGATACGGGAAAAACGACGGAACGAATGATCGTCTCGGAATGTGAACGGAACGTTTCCTCACGCTCCACCTCTCTGGCAATTCTGCGACACGACTGTGTTCACTCGCGAATGGTAAACGCAAACAAACATCGATGCTCCAGCGAAACGAAGAGAAAATAAGGGAAAACGGGAGATTACGCTTCGCGCGCCTAAAATCTTCCCCAGGAGCACCGCAAAAATCAGCGCGACGATCTATCCTCGATAACTCTGTCGCGGAGATAGCCATAATTTTATTCGAATAATAAATTACGAATAAAACCTACCTAAAGAGAAACAGAAGAAGATATCGAGAGTATAAATGCTGCGGAATGATCGTGGAATGACGAAAGTACCGATTGAACATTATTTTTTTCGTATTTTCATTTGTCATTTTCGAACAGGACTCGATTCGTATCTTTCATAAAAAAAAAAAAGAAAGAAAAACTATGGAAATCCGAACCGCGAGGATACGGGGAATGACTCGGAGAAAAATGTAATCGATTACGAAAGCTTCCAGCGATCGATACCGGCCCTGTTCGATGCTTCCCTTTCTGTGCGCGTGCAAGCGCTCCTCTCTGCTTCTCGAGAGGAGTAAGTACTCTGAACGAAGAACGCGTCGCGGGAAAAGAAGAAAGTCGAAATCTTAACGATCGCGAAGGAAACTAACGACGAATGGAAGGGCGTTTGTGCCTCGTGGGAACGAGAAAAACCGGGGGTGAAATCTACGGACAAAGCAACAAGACACAAAAGACTACGAATTGCACTTGGGTTGGTCTCGTTTATTTATTAAAGCGTTACTTTAAGAAAAAAAAAAAAAAAGAGAAGTAAAAAACATGCTACGATAGAACCGTACGTATTTAAGATACCAGTCGTTCGCGAGTAATCAATGATCTCGATTGAAAGTAATCGATAATCCCGACGATTGCATAACGATAATAATAATGACGATAACGACGGCTATTACGACGAGGATGATCGGATAATCGTAACGACAACGATGATAACGATCCGCGGCGATAATGACAACGACGATGATAGCGACGATGATAATGATAAGTACTATGTCGATTAACCTATTATAACAAATGCACGATCATGTTCGCGAGTATCTATGCAAGCACACGCGCTCGCCCGAAATACCTACGCGTTCGCGTAGATTTTGTGAAGTGTCGCGAACCAAATCTGAAGCAACGTAACTTCGAACTATAGACAATTTCCGTAACAATGTTCGCGCGCGCGCATGCCTCTAATCTCTCGCGAACGTATGCCCGTCGAGTTCACAGACACTCTCTCCTGTAACAGTAATAGTTCTAGTAATAATAATAATATTAATAATAGTAATAATGCTTATGACGATAGCAATAGTAATGGTAATAATAATAGCTATAATAGAAAAAAAAAAGAATGTAACCGTTAAGAATATAAAGAATATTAATCGTAATAATCTGAATAATAATAATGACCATCGCAACAGCAATTAATACGCGCAACTAAATCGATGTGTTTCGTCGTTAGCGGATGTACTAAAAAAAAAAACCGCGCCGATGCGCTCCCTATTAATCATATAATCGCAATAATTGTCGCAATTACACGAAAGAATCGTTCTCTGATAATTAAGTGCGCCCCTATCGCGATCGATCTCCGTCGACCACCGACACCGGGGAAACGACACGTCCCGTAGACGTAATCGACGAAGTACTCTCTCTCGAGATCTTTCTTTTTCCTTCCCTTTTCTCGGTCGTGGATGAAATTTTACACGAATAACGAACAACGAACGAAAATATCGTTTCCCATCGAACGGATATCGACCAAAGTTTCCCTTCGTTCGACGCGAAACGTAATTACGTTTCGCGATTCGGATTGTAATTTTTATTAAAAATTTCTACCCAGTTAAGAATGTCCAGCTCTTATAGTCCACGACGTTCGAAAGTGGAGCGGACGAAGCATTCGAGCAAAAAGTCCTACGTCGACAACGTTCCGGACTGATTTTCCTCGTAGGGAACGATACTTTTCTTTCTTTCTTTTTCCAACGTGTAAAAGTGCTCCCGGATTAATTCTCAGGGAAATCGCAGACGAAGCTCTCCCTTTCCCTTATTATATATATAAGCCTTTCCCTTATTTTCTCTTTGATCTCTCGTTTCGAGATGCTCGCCCGATGGGGGCCCCTTTATTCCACAGTCTCGATTCGAACTGTTACCCCTCCGCGCTGCTTCCCGCCGATTACCAACGCGTGTTTATTTTTATCGTAAAACCTCGCGTTTCCCTTTCTATTTTTGTTTTGTTTTTTTAAGAGCATATAAAAAGTCGTGTGGCACATTGACGGTTGGAATGTTATCATTGTTTTCATTAAATTTATAATAAGAATCATAATAATTAATAATAGTAGTAATATAGTACTTCTTTGCTTGTTATTAATAATATTCTTTTATGTATGTTTAATAATAATAATTAATAATAATTAATAATATATATATAATATATATATATATAACATATATGGATACATACGTGTACATACATATATATGTATATATATATATATATACCTTTTTTTTTTGTTTATCATATAGTAGTTTGTTTCCTCTGCACTTATCGTTTATATTCTGTGCTGACTGCGGGTTTTGATTTGAGGGGACATTCGCCCGGTCCCGTTCGCGATCGTCTCGCAGCGGACGATTCCTCCCCAGCCCTTCGTGAGTCAGGACCGCCGACGAGGGGATGTCGCCGCGAAGACGTCGCGCGGTCTACCGGCCGATCCTTTTTGTGTTTGCATTGCTCTTCGTGGCATCTGCATTCGCGTTGATCACTGCTGGATTATGTGAGATGTAGAGATTTAGTTAGCTGTACTTGTCGTGGCAAGGGTCGCGCGGTGCGCCCTGCTCGGACAGAGAGAGAGATGTCTATTGTTGCTGCTTGTGTGTTGTTGCCGGGTGTATATTGTACTCGGTGACCCCGGGTGAGTATGCAACCCGGGGTACGCGCGGAAACACGCTCGGACGTTCGACGACGTTACCGGTCGCGAAGAAGTAGCGGACACCGCTCGCAGGCCACGTCGAGGAGCCTCTCTCACCCCTGGGTCACCTTTGGGTTGCGAGAGTCGACGCGCCAGGAGCTGTCGTACAAGTATAGCGATTTCTTCGAATTTCGAGGGGGCTGCAAAGCGACGCCACTGAGGTTAGAGGGTCTCGCGGGGCCTCGAAGTTCCGGCACCTGCGATTTCTCTCGAGTCGCTATATTTGTATCATCGATCGTATGATTCGTCTATTCCCGCGTCTCGGTCCCCCGTGTCTTTCGCTCGGAGCGAATAGACTCGCGAGGGATGTCGAGGTAAGGTTTTCCTTTCGTTCTCGCGATGATCGAGCCCGAGTAGCGTCCGTCGCGAACGCGCTCCGCTTCAACTGTAAGGACACGACTGGTTTCGGGAGGCTGCAATAATGTTGTAGCTGTATGTAGAAAGCTGACTGCGTGTACTGTTATACTTCTGGTATTCATTTGGCTTAGTGTCACTGAGTGTGCGTGTGTGGTCAGAAATGCGGGTGAATTTTCAAAGAGCGTTTGCCATAGGTTGTCCGGAGGGGTTGTTGCTCGTGTGGATGGATGACGATATATCTGTCCGATGGGATTAGTCGGTGCGGAGGGATGCGGGGGCGTATGGGGGAGTTTACATGATATCCGGTTTGCGGATTACTTAGTTACTTGTTTTCATTTCCTTAATTTACCTCTTTCGCTCGCGATCGGTTACTTTAAACTCGTTTAAAAAACTTTTTGCAGCGTATCGGAACACGCCTGGCCTCGCCCCTTGGCCCCCGAGGCCGGAATATAATCGGGCCCGGATAAAACGAGGTAGGACGAAAAACGCGTACGCGAACGCGAACGCGAACGCACGGTGGGCTTCCCGGAAGAGAGGTCTCTCGTATACGTAACGCGTCGCCGGGACGCGTGTCTTTTGATTAAATTCACCGGCAGTTCAGCGTACTTGGTCCGTAACTAGTTGGTCGTACCTTGAATTTCCGGTGCGTGCGTTCCAGAGTGATTTTGGTATAGACAGGTTTGATTGAAGCACCGAGCTACCACCGTCGTTCCGTCGTTCGAGGGTCCGTTAACGAGCCGATTTAACCAATCGTTTCGACGCGACGCGAATGTTTCTAATTACGATAATTACTCCGTGATACGATCGATGCTTTTCGTCGCGCTAGACCTCGAGGAACAGATTTTTCTCGCGGCTCGTTCCCTCGAGGTATTCCGGGGGACGACGATTTCCCGCCTTGGCGGCGTTTCGCGTGCGGCGAGGCCGGGCTTACACAGCGACAGTATAGAAAAACGAAAAAGAAACGAAACAACATGATATACAAACAACTAAAGCGCCAAACTACGAGTACTACCGGTGCTAGCTACGTAGTACCAGCGCCATTTTACCTAACTCCTACTAGTCGAAACGTCTAGGCATAGCCAGCGCCGATTAAAGCCCGCCGCCTCTGATCCGGCCTGTGAGCATCGCGTAAATGAGATCCGCGACCGACGAGGACGCATCGCTCTAGCCGCAAACAAGACCGACGATACGTTTCGCTTCCTTAAACCTCGAGATAGGAACATGAAAGTAATTTCGATTCGCGTATGGAACAAGAAGTAATTGTACTTTAAAGAATACATCACCTTTTGATGGACGAATAATACACCTTTGCTTCGACGAACTTGGTTTTCACCCGTTGACACTCGCGCGTGCACCGGAGACGGGCAACCTTTTATTCGAATGATATTTACGCGAGACGCGACAACCGTTCTGCGATTCGAATTCTAATTTTCGGTTCGTTGGAGATTCGGATATTTGGATGAGAATTTTGCCCGTCCCCGTTTCCATTTCCCACCGAATCTCGCGGTTAAAAGCTCACAGGACGAACGATCGCGTCGCGTTCAATTTATCAACGAACCAATGGCTGACGAGGGTTTGGCCGATGTCGGCGAATCGTGCAACGATATAAAATATTTTATAAAAGTTCAATCAAGTAATCCGATAGCCTCTGGAAAGATCTACCGATCATCGACCGATCGTAGCCGTCTCTTACGAAATTCTTGCGCGAGACAACGAACCGCGTCGCTACAACGTGCTCGAGAATGAAAAAAGGCTTTTCGAGTGGCAGCGAAGAACGGATGATTTTCGCGTGGGGCTCGTTCGTTTTCCCAGCCGTCGCGCGTGAGCTCTGCAAAGAAATCGCTGTCAGTCGCAATACGAGGAGAGTCCGCGACTCGGCTGGCCGGTCAGAGGCGTGGTCGAGCACTGGCTTCCCCGTCTTTGTTGCCGTTCTCGCGCTCAAATCTTCCGATTTCTTCGTCGTATATCTATCTACCTATCTATTTATCTTCCGCACCCTTTCGCGCCTAACGAGCGCCCGCGGTCGTCCGTGACCGCTCGTTACGCGACTACGCGTTAGAAGTTTCGTAATACATATACACAGGGTGTATTGTGACGCGTGGGACCGCGTTATCGGTGGATACGGGACGCGAGACCGATGAGGAAAGTTCGTATAGGCGTGTGTCCTATATCCCGAGTCGCGCGGCTGCTCATTTTTATCGAAAGTGCTCGAAACTGTTACCTTTGGATCGAAAAGACTGTTGATACGTATAATGTCACGGAATGGTGAATTTTTTGTGTTTCTCCAAGGATGCCACGCGACCACTTTCCATGGTGGAGTGAATTGGGAACAAGGAGAAATAGGACACGCGATCGTACGGACTCTTTTCATCGTCTTCGCGCTCTCGATCGACCGACGAAGTGGGTCCCGCATGTTAGAATACGCCCTGTATACGCAATATATATATAATATATATAATATATATAATATATATATATATATATATATATATATATATATAATATATATATGTATATATATCGGTGTCGAGCCGGACGTCGAATCGACTCGACGACTTTGCTTCTGTTCGCCCGTTGAACACAAATCGGTAAGTTCTCGCGTCGTATACTTGTACGCGTATACGAGTCCGCGAAAGCACGTCCCTCCGAACGAAGGACGGCTTTCCGTCTTTTAGAGTCATTGCATGACTAGAGCCTACGAATTACGAGCTTATTAAAGCCAATTAGAAAGGTACCAAGTTCTCGACCGACCACGGCGGAGACCGTCTCGGTGTCCACGTTGGTAGGGCGGTGATTTCTCTATTCGCTTCCCATCTTTTCGACCCCTCGATCGACCGCGTCATTCCACTGCACAAGATCTCGATCGAATCGGTCGACTTTGCAATTGCAGTCGTTTCGTCTTCGATAATGCAATTTCCATAGCAAATTTTGTTGAAATTTTCAACTGCAAATCTTTCGTAATTAATTCCCGAGTAAGTTTTCGTATCGATCGATATCGGAAGAAAGGAATGCACGTCGCAGACGTTGTTTTCGATTGTTGGGAACGATCGATTGTTCTAAGAGAACATCGATCGAAGTTTGAACCAGATCTCGGTGTTCTCGAAGAAACGCGAGGACGTTCGAGAATGGTCGAAACGGTGTGTCGTTTTACATCGTCGAATCGACGTCGGCTTTCCTGTAGTGTGTGCCCGTGTAACGCGTGTACGTGTCTTCTGTAGTTGTACGTGTGTGTCGGTGTGTCCGTCGTGTAATTCTATGTGAACGACAGGCCAGCTCTTCGTTGATCACGAAAATCCCAACATTCGAGAATGCGTGAATTGAAAATAGAATTTAAAAAACGGTAACCTAGCGCGTAACAGTTCGTTTTCGCCGTTTTTCCTCGACGTTTTGTTAATGTGTGTACGCTTAATGTTCGTGTGTGGGCGCGTGTCATTCAATGTACGTGTGTTCCGTTCCCGCGTGTACGTGTGAGCGCGTTGTGTGAGCAGGTGTGAGTGTTTAGTGTCGGTGTACCTAATTGCACTTATTCGACAAAACAGAACGTAAAAATGAACGCAAGATGGCGGCCGGACGGCCCTGGAACGTATACGGAGGTAATATACTTTTTATTTTTTTTTTTTTATTTTTGTTAAATTTAGCTTAAAGGTCGTTCAACTCGTTTTCATCCCCGTCCTCTGTTCTCCGCCTCCCGTTCCTCGAACAACTCCACCTTCGAACTAAAGTTCCTGTTTGCTGCTACGGTAGTTACATTCGTCGTTTGTTTTGCTGCGAGTCGTAAAAACGTAACGTCAAAACTTAGGCACAATTTGGAACTGTTTAGACCATTTTCTACACGGACCCCGCCCACCCCCTACCCCCGCCCCCGTGGAGTTTGCGAGCTCGCCGTTCGAAGATCCCGGTTGGCCGTCGACGAATTAAAGTTCGGACAAATTTCGAACCGAAGCCGGAGTTTCTTTTTTTTCTTTTTTCTTTTTCGCTTTAAACGTATTCTTGAGGAATATCTTTCGAGAGCGTCCGAAGAGCGTCTTTGTGGAAATTGGAAAAGATAGGAAACGCTTCCAGAAACGTTCCATCGAGTGGACGGCCATCCAATTTCCTCTCGCGGCCGAGACACGCGAACGTCCTCTTTTACTCGAACCGTACCAAACATAACGATACTTTGTGAGGTAGCTGACATTGAGCCGTTTCAGGGCCAATCGGACCAAATCTTCCAGTTTTTGAGAACTCGACGCGACCGAAAATACTCTCGTCGTCGTTCGATGCCGCGAGACAGACGAATAGACGGAGAGAGAAAAAAAATATACGTACATATATAACAAACGTGTAATTTTTGCATTATCAGGAATTCAGCGCGAAATGGATTCTACGACAAACTCGGCACGTGTCGAATGTTTTACACATTTTTTGATCTCTGACGCGTTCCAAAAGCAGAGAACGAGGTATCGACGATAAATTTCACCGTGACATGGCTAAAACACGACGAAAGAAATGCAAATAAGAACCGAAAAGAATAGAAAAACGGGAATCATTGGGCCCGACTTTCCGAGCGATACCCGCCATCTTGGTCCCATCTGACCACCGGTGTGGATAAACGTAATTCTCGCGATCATCGCTATTCTCCCGTATTTGTTTCCTTTGTTTGCTTGTTGGCTTTCAATTCGCTCTCTCTTACTCGTCATTTTGTCTCCACACACCGTAATTACAATAGTATTTTTTTTTTTTCATCTTTTATATCCGTAATCTTATACATATACACTAGCTGGTTACAATAATTTGTGAAAAATATACATCAAAATTTTGTTACTTTTTACATCACAGATATTTTAATATAATATATCTTCTTTTAATTCTTAAAGATTTCTTTTCCTCCCCGGTTTTTTCATTTTTTTTTTTTTTTTCGACCAATCCGTCTCTCGCCGGATCGTTTCAGCGTATCGCCCGCGACGTAGAGGGAGACGGCCGGAAGTCCGCGTAACTCTGATTTACAAGCGACTTTCCGTGCATCTTTAAAGAGAACGGCGTTTCGACCGGGACAAATTTTCGTTATCAATTTTTCCGCGACGCACCCTCCAATTTCGCGCGGACCCTCGATCCCGCCGTCTCCCCCGGGAAAAAGAAAAACGAAAATCGACACTCTTCCTACAGTCGCGTTGGCAACGATATCTGCCCTAGCCTATGCGTCTCGTCCTTCTCCGCTTCCTCTAATATCTCCCTCCCTCCCTCCCTCCCCCCCCCCTCGCGAGTCTCTACGTTTCTCTGAAAAAACGAATTTCGATCTCGAGAATTTTCCTAGAACAAGCTACGACAACCAATGGACAGAGGTTTCTTCCGATCGCCGATAATGTTTAAAATCACAGAACGTTATATCCAATCGTTTCTTACATAAATATTCCCCGCAAAAATAGAGAACCACCTTTCTAGAAAACGTGTTCCTTTTCGCGCTTTGTTTTCTCTTTGTTTTTTTGTTCATTTTGTTTTTTTTTTTTTCTTTTTTGCCGTATCCTCTCCATGCTCGTTCCCCGGTCGGGCATGCCCCACGGGGCGAAACAAACCACGGAGAACCGTTCGTGAACCGGAAACGTAACATATTCCGTGTTCGTTAACGCGAAGAATCGCTGCGGCAGACACGTTGACGCGACTGTGTCACTGGGAAATCGTTACACGGCGGCAGCCTCGTTAATTACGCCGTTTGGGTCGATCCTCCCGAAATTGTCGCGATCGACTCGTGGCTCAGCGAATCGAATTTCTGCAGGAGTCGACGCCCGTCGTCGTCCGAATCCGAAAACTCTTGGTCTCTTCTGTCGATCCACCGATACCCAGAGATGGGCAAAATTTCATTCGACCAATAAACGACGAAGAAAATCGATAAATACACGAACGTTCTCAAACCGAGAAAAATCGCGTTCGTCGATCTGCAGTCGGTCCCATAAGTAATCGTACCCTCTATGTTTGTCACAGACATTTGTCTAAATTAAACAGTAGATTTGATGTTTTCAAATAAATTTTTCGTCATAGGATACATACAAGCGTAAAGTTTATTCCTGTATATATTTAGAAAAACGAAACGTTTATTTGGAAACATCAAATTTGTTATTTAATTCAGAGAAATTTCTTGAAAAATGATAGAGGGTACGAATACTTATGGGACTGACTGTATGTTTTCGTTCGATGCCTGTCGATGTTACTTTTGATTTCGGATGGCATGCGATTAGTGCAAGCTGAAGGATGTTATCATTTGCTACGATGTTGATAAAAGCGTGTATCTGGATAATAATTTTGTCCACCTCTATCGGTTGGGGCCAGTTTTGATTACCGCGTGACGCAAAATTTCACGAAAAATCCTTGTGCGTTGAGTCGACGAGTCGAAAGTAGAATAAATTTGTTGGCTGCTCTTCCCGAAAATTAGCCCGAATGTATCGCGACGAATTCAGGCGAATCGATGAGATCGTCGAAGACGAGAAGGTCGATTTGGCGACGACGACGGGAGCGGACGCCTGACTCGGTGAACGCGAATCAGAACGTCGCGACGTATACCTTCGTAACCGTAATTGAAATAACGACAATCATAGTGTACGCACGTTTTACAATCATCCGCACGATAAATATTCATTTTTCACATCTAACGATAAATCTTTCGTAAAGGGTATATCGGGAATTTGTTTATTTCGGGCGTGTGTGGGTGAGTCGGGTAGGGGGCTCGATTACAAGGGGCTGGTGAGTAAAGTTTTTTTTTTTTTTTTTTTTTGGGCATGGGGGAGGGGGGGAGGGCGGGGTGGGGGGGGGGGCGGTGGTCGGAACGAGTGTAAGAAATATCATTCCTCAACTTTTGGGTGTAGTGCCTGGTGATAGTTTAGAAAAAGGTATTTTTTGTTTTGTTTCTTTCGAGGTATCGAGTAGTTAAGATCACACCGAACGATTTTTACATTTTGACGCGAAGCGGGTGATCGGTTGGTGTACGATTAGAAAGGGGTGATTCAGTGGACACAAGGTAGAAGGAAAGTTTAAATTTACGTTTACACACAATCATGATTAGTGCTTGCTTTTCGCTTGTGTTTTTCTGCTGTTCAGCTTGATTCATTATTATTTTTTTTTTTTTTTAGTATTTCTTTAACCCTAAGGAGACCTTAACGTTTACACTCAATAACTTGTTTTTTTTTTTTTTTATGTTTCCGACGCGCTTCTCTGCGTGGGTGCGCTTTCGCCCCTTTTCTTCGCCTTTAGAAGTAACCTCTTAGTTCACGGTTCTTGTTTCTTTAAGTTTAGGGTAAATTTTAAGTTTAGTTCCAAAAAACACCGAGAGAGTAGCCTTGCTTACACGATTTACTTTTTTTTCGAGTAAGGTATAATTTTTTTTGCGTTAATAAGGAATTTTTGCATTTTTTTTTTTTTTAAACACCGAACATACATGCCTTATACTTTATGTACAGCCTAGAGTCTTTCAGTCGTTACTTTACTTTAAAGAGAGTCGTGAGATGAGTGCGTGGATTTATGCTTTCGCTTTCCTTTGTCTTTGTCCTTTTTTACGACCAACTGTAACAATCCTTCTCGGCACTCGAGAAAGACGGAAAAATCGTGACCCGCGAAACTACGCACCGAACGTAAACCGTTTCGTCTCGCGTGATCCGTTTCTACGCGTGTTCCCTTCGCCGAATATCGTACCGCATCGGATCCGTCTTCCTCGACTTCGTCTTGGTCCAACCGTCTGCTCAGCTACTATCAACTAGCGAAACAACGAAATCGCCACTTTTTCAACGTGTTTATCTAGTCAAGGATCTCCTGTCGAACGGAATTCTCTAATCGAAAATACGAGAAGATACCTCGATAGTCGCGCGCACGACGCTCCAGCGGATAAACCTGCGAAAAAATTAGTCAAAAGAGGAGGGACTGGCGTTCTTTTCTCTTTATTTTTCTTTTTTTTTTTTTTGTGTGATTGCTCGCACGAAGATCGAAACGATCGCGGAAAAACTCCCGTTCCTGTTGAACGATGCGATGCGCGATCCTTGCAAACCAGAGGACTCCTTGAAAAATCGCTAACGTCGTCGTCGGGAACGACCGATGAGAGCCTTAAAAATTCGTTCGAAATCTCCGACGATAAATTACGAGTAAACTTTGCGATTGCATGCTATTCGAAGCGAAATTTCTAAATTCCGTTTGAGAACGATGACAGGACCTTATCTAATCTTCGCTACGTTTCTGTTAGTTTCTCTTTTCTTCGCCTTCGTGAGGAAAACGGGCACGATCGAGATCCGTAGGTGGCGAGTACGTAGAAAAGTCGGTAAGGAAACGAAACGTTCGCTTTGTTGCGTAGTCACGGGTGAAAAAGTAAGAAAAATTGTTGGAATAGAGGAGTATCGCGAGCGAGTCGAATGCACGTTTTCCTCGCGAAGAAAATCGCTACGAATTGCCGCCCTTTGTCGCTGCTTCTCTTTCTCTATGCGGTAGAAAATTTGCGGTTCGTATCAAAATGTCGGCGTTAATCGTCGCGCGTAAGAAAATATTCAGCACTTCGGTAAAAGACAGAAACCGAGAGTCGAGAGCAAGCGCGCGCCTACACAGTCGATCCGTATCCTCGAAATTCCTTAAAAGCCTATGCGTCTGTTGTTCTTTTCCTATCGTCGTTCATCGTGGCTTCCCTCCGAATCCCTTCGAATCGAATGATCTTCGTCGATGAAGAATTCTTTCGGTGATTATACCGTTTCTCTAATTTCCATTCAGACCACCTAGCGAATACGTATCTATTCGTGTGGATGTCATCGGTGATCGCTCGCATTAACAATTTACCTAACGAGAGTACCACGTTTTTCTACTTTTCGAAGTTTTCGTTTCGTTCACCCTCCCCGTGGACGAAAGATGTCGATTAAAATTCATGCGCCGAGAAGAAATCTCGAACGCGTGTCCTCTCATCGACGAAGATCTCCTTCCCCCCCCCCTCCCGTCTTCCTAAATAGCTCCAACCTTCCTTCCTCCCTTTAATGTCCCTCCTACGTGCGCGATCCGTTTGCGACGAAGGACGCGTTTCTATCGAACGCCAGCCTTGAAATAACCGAGATTAGAGAAATATTGTCGCCTTATGAAAAAACGTCACCTATTACGCGCGCCAACAAAAGTCTTGGCCTCGTTCTCGTTTCGCATTTACGTTCGTAATGACCAAAAATATATATGTATATATATATATAATATATCATTCCTTATATAATTATGTTGCTCCTTACGAGTTAAGTAATGTTAGTAGTGTAGGTAATAAGTTTGCATTTTAGGTAGTTTTACATCGATAGAGGAAAAAATACGTTGTTGTTGATGTTGTTGTTGTTGTTGTTGTTTATGTTTGTTTGTTTGTTTCTTTTTTTTTTTGTTGCGTCGGCATTTGTTTTGTCCTCGTGTCCTCGGAGAAGTCTATAGGCGGCCGACGTTTCCGCGCGCGTAGTCGGCCGGGCAACCCTCTCGCGGAAATTTCAGCGCGCGCTCCTACCCAACGCGTATATTTTCCTACGGAAACGCGGGCACGCGCGGACTGTTCGCGTGCTTGCTCGTTTTTTTGTTGTTGTTATTTTTTGTTGTTGTTGTTCTCCTTTTTTTTTTTTAACGTGTTCACCGTTTGTCGTTTTCTTCGCCTGGATAACGTAGCAGAGGACCGCGGCGCGTGCGCTCAACGGCACATCTGCCTATCCGAGAATGATTAGAGGCGTCCGTGTAATCGTGTAACGTGTGAAAGTGTTCTCGCCGAACGAGCGTGTACGTCTACCAACGTGTCTCTGTCCCATGTGTAGGTGTACGTATAGGTGTGAGCGTGTCGCGTGAGTGTTCGGTACAATAACATCGCTTCGTGCCTTGTATCCGTTTTCTTGCGTTTTCGTCGAATCGAAATATCGCCATAGTCGAAAGGGTTTCTTTCCGGTACGACCTACCGTCAGCTGGACGGTGGTCGACTGCCGGATACGTATAACTGATGGAATCGCAGTGGGTTGACGGGTGGTTGGTTGGTTGGGTAGCGCTTACGCGTTTTCGTTACACGTTTTTCTTCGTTCCCGTTTGTTTCCTGTTTTGAACTTGCCTCGCGACGTTCAACAAGGGGGCTTCCGGATGGAAAGGACAGGGTCAGGCTATCTGGGGGCTGCTACCGTTATTCGTGCCACGTTTCGCGTTATTGAATCGTTCCTCGCCCCGCGCAGCCAGCGGAGAGGGTGCTCGCCGTTCACGCCCCTCTACCTCGAAACGGTCGCGTTTGCTTTCATAGCCAAACCGACCAAGTGTCGTGTGCTCGATATCCGGTTGTTCGATCGCGAGCTGAACGCCGGACTATTCGTTGCACGCCCAATGGAAAAGAAGAAAAGCGAGGAGCGTGCGAAATTGAACGAGGAGGAGGCGAGAGGGCGAGCATAGCCGCGCTCGTGCCGCGCGAGGAGGACGCGCCTCGTCGCGTCGGTGCGTGAAATGCCATAGCATTGGGCGGGAATGGCTTACCGTATACGGATCGTATTCTCCGTATTTCTCGTTAACTCTATACTTTACTGATACCAACGATACCGACTTTTCTCTACTGCTCAACGGAGTCTTCCATACTGATCGCTGGACCGCGTTGATCCGCCGACTGTTGGCTGTTGGTTTGCTCACCGGACCTGCTGTTCCCGGAATTGTAGCCCCGCTGCAGTTGCACGACCAGTCCGCTCACGGCGGCGTACTCCTTCTGTTGCTGTTGCGGCGGCGGCTGCTGCTGCTGCGGCGGCGACGACTGTTGCTGCTGTTGCTGCTGAGTCTTCTGGCTCGAATGATCTACTATAAGCTTACTATCACAGGCACTTTTTTTGTCAGTTGATACGGCGTAGAGTAAGTCCGGGTAGTGATTCAGCTGCTGCTGCTGCTGCGGCGACTGCTGAACGGTCAAAGTCTTTCTATCGCGATCCTCCTGTCCACCGTTATGGACCTCGCGCTCCCTGCTGCTACGATCGATTCTCGAGATGCTGTCCTCGTCCCTGCTGCCGGTCCTCGATATCGAAAGCGGCGTAGGCGGCGAGGTGAGACGATCGCTGCCGTCATCGGTGCGACCGCGTTCCGACGGCGACGGGCTGAGGTCGACGGTGGGCACGCGTTCCGGTCTCTCCGGGACTGATCTTCCCGCGGCCGATGGTCCCCTGTAACTCTCGTCCTCGCTGCTGTCCTGAGCAAGCCGTGGAACTGGCGTTCTCCTCGAATTCCTGCACAGCTGGTCGATCAACGCTTTGCTCCTCATCGATTCAGGGAGCTGTTGCTGTTGCGAGGAAGACTGTTGCTGGTTCCTTCCCTCCGCCATCGCCCTCTGGTCCCTTGGAATTCCCGTCTCGAGGCTCGACCTGATCAAATTGTCCAGGAAACTGCCGTTCGCCCCCGAGCCGTCGTACAGGCTCTCCGTCACCTCTCGCGGCGCCTTCGTCATCGGTGTCCCGCGAGAATTCGACGTTCCCGGCGACTCCGCCGTGGTAGCGGCTGCGCCGATTCCGTCTCTGTCCCTCTGCTGATGTTGCTGCACCATAGCCGCGTTCCTCTGTTGTTCCTGCAACCCGCGTATCCTACTCGTAGCAAAGTACTGTTCCGGTAGGATAGTCGGAACGTTCGGCGCCCCGGTGATGAACGGCGACGGCATGAACGGCGTCGGATTCCAAAAGTTGAACGGCGCGAACGGCAAATGTGGCATGCCTTCCATGAACGGCGGCATCTTGAGTCCGTTGGGTCCTGGAATACCGCCAGGAGGTGTGAACGGTTTCTGTGGCTTCAACTGCGGCTTCTTGTCGGCTGTACCCGGTCGCATATTGGCTGCAGCCGCTGCCGCTACCACGGCCGCGGTCTCTTTCGCCTTATCGTCCGGCTGCTTCTGGTCCCTGGAAAGATCAACGACGGCAGGTTAAGTGGAAGGGCGACCGGCCGTTAGACGTCGCGTCGATCGGTACAGACCTGGGCACTTTTAAAAAGACATTGTTTAAAATAAGGCAAGGCGAACCGTCGAATAGAATCACGGTTTAACACGTTCGCGACGAGGTCTGAATGATTTATATGATGTATATATCGATATTTAGTTGATTTTTTGAAATAATACCACGAATAAAAATATAAATAAATTTGATAATCACAGTAATCAGTTGTATAAATGCCACGACGCGACAATAGTTCATCTATACCATACCACCGATGGTACATCCCGTCGCGAACGTGTTAATACTCGGACGATCCTTCTTTCGAATAAAAGTTACCCAGGTCTGGATAGGTATTGCGTTTGAACGTACCTCTTCCTCGGCCTCATGAGATGCCGTTCCTTAACTTTGTACTCGAGGGTGGAGTGTGGCACTCCGTAATAGCTGCCTGCGCGATGCACGCTCATCTCGCCTCGCTGAACAGCCCGTACAGCCTCGACGAGACTGTCCCTGTCGTAATTTCTGTACTTGCCGCGTTTCGGTCTTGTCCCTTTGCCACCGGTAGCTTGTTTCGGTTTGTTCGCTTCTTGAGACTGCGGCTTCGGCTGCGATTGCGCCTGTTGCGTCGTCGGCTGCGGCGGCGTGTACCGACCCCTCTTGAACGGACTCGGGTCCGTCATCATCGTCTGCTGCGACTGCACCACCCCGGCTGTCTGACATCCGGCGATTCCTGCCGCGGTGACCGGCTGACCTTCTTGGAATTTCACGCTGATGCTCTTCGCTATCACGTCGCGGAAGTTTACGGCCCCCGTTTTCCCCACGAGGGAGTTTGTGGGGCTGCTGGTGCCCGAGAACGCGGGGCTGGCCCGTTCCAGGAGACCCGGACTCGAGGCAGCGGCCGCGAAACCCTGCGCGAAAGCGGCGGAAGTTGGCTCGCCGTTCTTGCTGGAGCATCCCGGGGTGCTCGCTGGCTTGTAGGACGGAATCTTCAGAATCGCTCTGCCTTGACCACTGTCGCTCGCCTCCTCCTCGATGTTGGGATTGAAGTCGTCGTTGGTGATCGGGCCGCGTTGTTGTTGCTGTTGCGCTTGCGTCTGCGCTTGAGAGTGCGTCGAGTGGGATTGTTGATGATGAAACTGATGATGGTGCGGTTGCGACTGGTCCCCGTTTACGCTCTTGTTTAGCCTCTTGTCTTCGCTCATCAGCCTCCTCATCACTTCTGGAATGCGATAGTCTTGCGTCTCCATACCTAAGCGACAAGACGATCGTTCAATGGACGGATGCAAAGAGGAAACGGTGGGTTATTTTTCGTTACGGGTTCCTCGCGCCTACGAGCATTTGTCTTAATCTCGGATTAGCCCCCTGAGAACTGTTCGAGCAACTTAAACGAAGGTTCCGTTCGAAAGGTGGAAAAAGTGTCACCGACCCGTCGACTGGGGCCTGGCTTCTATCGATTTCCGAAGACCTACCAGCTCGTAATACACTTTTCAACTTTCGTCTCGGTCCTTCGCGTAGACTACTAGTTGCCCAGTCAGCGAACCAAATAGTTTAGCTTCCGACAGAGGTAACCCAAATCCCACGGACGCGAACATTTTTAAGAATTTTTACTTTTTCTACTTAATAATCCCCTAATCGATGACCGAAGACTCGACCGAGATATTACTTTCTTCTTTGAATTTAATGTAAAAGAAATTCTATTACTTTCTGGTCCCTCTGATAGATGGATGTCAGTGAATCCCAATAGACGTGTACCAAAGACAAGACTAACGTAAATGTAATGTACAGTGTCGTTCGATTATCCTTGTTGGTCTCTCACCTTTGAATGGCGCGGCCGCTGCAAGCATCTTCTGTATGTACGGACCGATATTCGCGTGTTCGAGACCCGGCCACTCGGCACCCGTTTCCTGTCCCCGTTGAAGCAAAGTTCTCAGGGAATCCCCGCCGCCTCCTTCGAGAGCGGAGAACCTGACGAGATCTTCCAAAGACAACAACGGCTTCAGCAAGGCTTTCTCGACTTCTTTCTCCTCTTCGGCTCCGGATAGTTCCTTGTCGTCCACCTGTTAAGAATATTTCTTTCTAACGTTTTCTGCACACCTTGACGCGGGGGAACAACGTTAAGTACAGATTATCGACAATAATATCCCCTCGAGGAAAGTCGTTTTACGGTTCATCTTGGTCGTGAAATTTCTTTGATGCGACTGTTTATTGACGACGACATCTCCGACTTTGTGATTTCGTCGAGAGGCGTTCTACTGTGTTTGTATGCGTGTGTCTGTGTTGTGACGGTGTCGGTTGTCCATGTAAGTACTTCTTTTTCGTCGAATGCAGAATGACCAAGCGTCATGCAGGAATTGCCAGATAGAATTCACGCGGAGAAGCGTAACGTACAAAGGAAATACGAAACAAACGGTAAAACTGAAGAAATAAAAACGCTCTGGCCGATTTAGTCGCGGCGAAACATTCTCTCTTCTATCGTTGCCATTTTACGCGCGAAAGGAAAGAGAAAGGCAAGATCGAAAATTGAGAACCAGCTCGAAAGTGTCTTGTTCCTCGACGAGCGAGAAGAACCCGACGCTACACACCAACACTTACCTCGCAAAAAATTATTCAAAGTACTTACATGCATTCAAACTAAAAGATCTACCAAAACTAAACTGTCTGCGCTTCTCCTAATGACACCAGACGGAGCATCGTGGAAAAGAAAATACACGATCGAACGTTCATTTCCCAAAACTGTCCCGCGTATCATGCATCGTGTGAAGTCGATCGAAAGTATCTCGGACACAATTTCTGGAAGGTTAGTCCTCGATAGTTTCGCACGCGCAACTCTGTGTCCTAATTGACAGTCGCGCGGCGACGAAATTGTTCGTAGCCGAGGTCTGCGGCAAGCGATTTTGTCGCCGTACGACTGTCAGCTAGGACAAGGCGTAACGTTTTCGAAACGATCTCTGTTCGAAAAGCCACCCGTCAGCATGCCTCGCTAAACGTAAAAATAGGCAGACGTACGTTGCGGTTAAGGACAGTCTCGTTAAAAATTTCAACGTAAAATCCTGACATTCCCTCGTTCACAAACGAAACGGGCAATTGGTGTCGAAGCGCAACCGTCTGTACAAAATACATCGAGGATGCACAGTGTCGAGGTTGAAAAAGCACACTGGTGACAACGAATTCGAGGGGCTGGGCGAACCGCGAACGTCGCGTCCAAGAAGGTAGGCATTTTCCTCTCGGCTCGAAACGAACGCCTCGAAAACTTACCTCGAGTCTTGCAACCTCGCCAAGACCAAGTGGCCGTGTGTTAAACTACAAATAGTGAGATAAAAAAAAGTTAAACAGCCCATGCAAAAACATTCGACACTACTGAGCATCACGGCGACCGATAAGGAACCGCACGTGAACCGATATTTTCTCCCCATTGTCGGACCACCCAACGAGTCGGTTTTGTTTTCCTCTCGCTCGCTGTCCTCTTCATTTTTCACCGAACCGGAAAAATGAATGTTCGAACGACGCGGCCAAGGTAAACGGAAAATTCGAGCCTCTTCGACGGCGCGGTGCGATCGGTTCACGCGAATTCCACGATCACCGTGGCAGAGGTATGTTTTGGGGAAGCTCCATTCGTTCTTCCTAACCAAAACCACACTTATTGTTAGATATAAATGGGCGGTATTTATTCGCGAGTTAATTATTCGACATTTTCCCTTCGTTATATCGTTCTCTCATCTCCCCTTCCTTCTTGTCGTATTCGTCGAGCTGTTTCGTCTCTCGTTTTCCCTGGATGCGTCATCTTTTGCCGAAGACGAATCGCGTCCAAAGGCATCTATCGTAATCTTTCCACGTAACGTCCGATAACTTGTGATTAATGACGTAGGAACGTCTGCCGAACTCGAAAGGAACTGCACAGTCTGTTGCGACACGTTCGAGTCAGCTAACAAATATTCGCGTGCGGATAATGTCGCATACTTTAGAATCGGTATGAAAATCTCCTCGACTCGAACGCGGCAATCGACTCTGCGCATGCACGCAAGGAAATCGAAGTGGTGGGTGATCAAATGAAATGCTTCGAGATTAAAAAGAAGATAAACAGTAACTCGTGCATCTGTTGGAAACGCGCGATTGACTGGAAAATTGTCGAGAAATAATCGAGTCGGGTAAAATGAGACGTAGTTGAACAGAAGTTCTTCGAATCTACGATTTCGTCCTACCGTCACTGATACGAGTATCGGACGTTGCAATCGTTAAGGGAAGAGTCTGGTCCACCCAAGGTTCTTTTCCAATGCATATCGATTTAACGTATAATTTATTTTCGTTCATGAATCTTTTTTTTACATATCGAGGTACGTTCGAAAAAGAAAATTTGACACTAAAGATTTAATTTCAATATATACATATGTATATAGATACAGTAGTGGCAAGCGAAGAATTCGCTCAAGACTGCAAGTCTCGAATTTAAACTTTGAATCAAGTGAATCGGATAAAAATTCGACGAGCTACGATATTCGATAAGTTTTCGGTTGTAAAAAAGCTAGAGTTCTTCTATTCTTACGGCTGTGTGAAGGTAATCTGCACTTCCAAGAACATACTGTAGACCTTTGCGAAAGCATTCTCCACATGGTTAGGAAGATTTTTAAGCAAAAAAAAAAAAAAAAAAAAAATGGGATCGATTTTTTAGACCAGCTAGACCAGACTCCCCCTTTAAACGATATACGAAAAGATCGTGATGGCTGAGAGTAACCGAGAACGAAACTCGTGCCACCGGTGCCAGAAGAAGCGGGGTTTCGAAACGTCCTCTACGCTGTCCTTACTCGATCCCTACGCTTTCCATAGCCGAACGCTTCGTTATCTATTTGAGATCCTAGTCTTTGCCAATTCTCAATTCTCTCGAGAGCGTACGTGTCACGAATTCTCCGTGGCAGACGGTGACGACCACCGAGACGAAGGTAATTGTAAAAATCAGGTAACGGTATCGTATCATCACGCTTGTTCTCTTGTATTCTATCGTCTTTCTCTTACGGCTTTCTGTCCCCAAAACCTACCTCGTCCACTTGCGGGGGCGGAGTGGTCGCGGAGGCGTTTTGGGTCGTATTTGGTGGTGTTGTAGTAGTAGTAGTAGTAGTAGTAGTGGTGGTGGTGGTGGTGATGGTGGTGGTGGTCGTGGCTGGGGCGCCGGGCTCGTGAGGGTGTGAGTGGGTGCTAGTCAGGGACGCATCCCTTTCGCGCTCCATCGCAAGCTTGTAGACCTTGTTGCGCAGGGTGCTACGCGGTATTCCGTAGATCACTGCCGCCCTTCGTGTACCGAGCTTGCCGCTCTGGATATCTCTAAGGGCGGCTTGGAGCTCCTCCTCGGTGTAGGTCCTCCGACCACCCCCCGCACCCACCACGGGGACACCACCGACGCCTGCTGCAGCTGCTGCCGCCGCCACAGTCGACACTGGCCCGGTCATACGCGGTTTCGCGCGATAACACGAACTAAAACACAATCCACCTCATTTAGTCCACTTATTTATCTATTTCTTCTTCATCTAACAGGGCTTGCTTAGACATTTAACCCCTTAAGCTACGATTTATGCTCCGACAGCCTGGTACCAAAATGCGATCTTCACATTTCTCTCGAACGATACACCACGGGCCAGGCTCGTGATAATCAGTTTTGGCCCGATTATCCGACCACGAGTCTCAAACGTGGTCGTAGCTGAAGGGGTTAAAGAGTAATTCAAACATTAAATACGATGAGCAGCGAAACATTCGTAAAAATTTTATTGGAAGAAGAAAGGGGTACACATTTCTTAACGCTAAACCTACCACGACCAAATGACGTTTTTCAAATTTTTAAATTTTCAATGTAGTTCCATGCAAAATATTTTTGCATTCAACCCTTTCGCTACGGCTCCCCACTCCGCCGGAGTAACGCCACTGAACGGAAGCGTTCGCCGAAAGTGTACACGTTGCCCGTTGTCAGGCTACTTTTATATGCACAGTCGTTGAAGTGTTAAGTGACAGTGCTTAATGAAACTATCTAACGTAACAAAAATGTATTTGATAGTTTTAGTATGTGGAAAAATTGATCGAAAATTGTATTAATTATATGCGTCGCTTATACTGTAAGTGAAAGCGAAGGGTATATAACCCTTTGGAGGAATATTAGAACAAATACAAATTACGAAAAAAAAAAATTACTCATATTGTCATATCGGCGTTGGATATATTCGGCGATAATAGCGAAAGGGTTAATCGAGAAAAGTGTCTCCAAGACTAGTCATTTGTCTCATAAGAAATGGTTACAAACGAACGTCGATAGGTTTAGTGTTAATTATATTTTTCGTACAGACACTAGTGGCGTCTGAGTCTGTACGTAACCGATGCACCAACGGATGGCAAACGTTTACAAACGGTTATTCCAAAGGTATGCGATCGCAAGTTCTCCGGAGACTTGAATCTATGTACGCTTGGTGGAAGCTCGGTAATTGGTTGACCACCGCAGAGCACCGATATGCGCGGAAAGCCATCGTTCGTAACGAAGTTTGGTTATCCGGGTACTTTTCGTGCCGCAGACTCACGTGCATAGGTGGTTCATCGGCTAACTTGTATCGCGGTTTGTGTTTGTACTCGACGGCCACGTGGCAATCGCGGTACCCGCACGTGTCTCGACCAGAAGCGAATCGATCCAACTGTGTTTCGTTAACACTTCGATCTCCAACGTAAAGATGCGTCGGCACGAATTCGATCTACGAAATTGTACAGGTAGCAGCTATATATTTAGTTCGATTAGGAAATATGGAACGATTAAAGCTTTTCCGGGGCTTGATTCGTCAAGGTTAGATAGCTGGAACGACGCAAAGGGGGTATCATGGTATTATTTGCAAAAATCGATAATTATCCGTTATCGTGCTGTGTTATCTGTTAACATTCGCGAGATAGTGTACCTCCAATGTTCGTCGTTTAATAAAAACGAGCAGGATTTTCTGGAGACCTCGACGAAAAATAAACCAGACGTTTAGTTGACGTTGAGTTTCAACGCTCGCTAGCGGGTGAGTAATTCATCGAAGAATCGAGTGACGCGAGAATGGCAGCTATCGGGGCCGTTGCAATTTGTCTCACTGTTTGACGATAAGATTAACCGTAAGAATTCATCGCGCTAAGAACTCTCCCTCTCCTCACCGGTGACTCGTAGGAACTGTGGTCCCCCCCTTGGTGGGTTCGTTGACCTATTCTCTGTCGGGCAGCGAAGCAAACTGATAAAAGTGCATTTCGACCGTTCTGCCCCCGACCGGGAGGGTCCGAAACGTAAGCTGTCAGCTCGCTAGAAATCTTCAATCTCTCATTCTTTGTTTCGCGAGTTTCGCACCTGTCGATGCAGTAATTGCGCGATAAAACTCTAGAAATGACATTGCGCGTGTTTGAGACTCGTATCTCCGAACAGCGACGTCGGGACACCGTATGTCGGGTAAGGTAGGTGATTACGTATTCGCGAGTGATTACAATTTCGCCATCCGTAAGAAATTCACATTTTTTCCCCGCTTTGTCTAGACTAGCTAAAAAGCGTTTCTTCGGGTATCGATTTCTCGCATAGATCAGGTACTCGCTCGGTCTGTACGCTCGGAAGATTCACGGATATTTGATAAAATTTTAGACAAAGTTTGATATTCTACAGACGAAATTGTGAACACATCGATCAGAATCGTCTCGTAATTGTTCGAGATTTTAATCTGTCGGGTTTCAGGTGCACCGACAAGGAAAGCATCGATCGCAGAACAGGAAGGAGACCGATAATCGTTCTCGAGCGATATCGAGTCGCGGTCGATTCAAAAATTGTTCGACACCGGCGTAGACATAATTCCGATTCGGTTGATCGTTCGAGCTTCTAATTTCGACTTTACTGGAGCGGTTTCGACGGCGGGCTATCTTATCGTTAATTACGGTGGCGCGCATGCGCTGACGCGATCCGAGACTCGCGTTCCATCTTCTTCCCTCCAGCGTTTCCCGTCGACCGGCGATCTTTCTCGTGCAACGTACGTACGACACACGCGAGGTACTTTGTGCCTTCGATGTGTCAGGAGGTGCAGATTACGGTGGACTAATAATAGACGATGATAAAAATTTGACGCGCAAAATGTTCCGCGGGGAAAACAGCGAAAACACGAGGGCAACGTACGGACACGATTCGCGACTTTGACTCTCCGGCGTTATTCGTCTTTCCTCTCTTTCGTTTTCCTTCTCGCGACTTCTTCGACCGTCCGCGTCGTATCCATTTTTTATCAAACGTATCGGCGCTCGAGGACGTTATTCGTTCGTTCGTAGAATTACTTGTTCGTTCCATTTACGCGAAATTCGTCGGAAAGAACGGATCGTCGATGATAGGTTTCGCTTCCGATAATCTTCGATTCACTTTCACGGCCGATTCGGAACGCCGAGTTTCTCTTTTTAATTTTCGAGTTACCCTTTGGAACGAACGCGATGCTCGGTTCGATATAGCCGCGTGTTTCGTATGTAACGAAACACGGCGGTTTCGTTTGGCGTACCTTTGGGTTAACGTTCCCAGGAGCGCGATAATTCTATCGTGAATTCGGTTGAAACGATTAACGCGCAGATATGGTCAACGCTTCGTGTAAATAAATAATCTTAACCTAGCTTTGTCCACTTCTGCGTACGTTTTCAGACGATGGCAAAATAAAAAAAAAAAAAAAAAGGAAAAATATTACAGACTCCCGAGTAAATTGTCGTAACGAGTATCTAGCGAACAATAGGACACGCGGGGGCGGAAAAATTTGCAAATAAGCGGCCAGCGAAAGGAAAACTTTTTAATTGCCAGTTCGTGCAGGCGTTGTTATAGATTCGAATGCGGGGATAAAATACAACTTTTGTACAATATAAAAGTATCCACCGCAAACGGGCGAGGTGTCATCATTAAAACGATAGGCGGCATCCGAAGAGTATAATCAGCCTGCCTGCCACCGTCGTGTTGTCCACTAAATTGTCGTTTAACTCGAATCCGCGCCCCATACTACGGCGTGGAATGCGATCAACGCTTTCCTTTGCCCGCGCGGAATGCAAATATCTATATCAGAGGTAGCTTCGTCTCGCCGTGAGGTGTAAAACGTGTCGCGCGATAACACTGCCGCGAATCGACGCGCCTCTCGTTTCGGTTACCAGGCACGGCCGACGAATTCTAATCGGACCGAACGAGGCTAGGTGTCGCGATCGCCGGAAGAGATCGAAGATTCGAAATCGAAACGTTTGTCCTTTCGTCGGTGCATCGCGAGCTTAATCGTCTACGTCGATTACGATGAAAGAGAGCTACTTACTTAAAGATACTCTTGGGGTCGATACCTGCGGGCATCCTTAGAGGTATTTTCTGTTGCTCCAATAGAGATATGTTGTTGTCCTGTGACAAAAAAGGAAACGATACAATCGATAACATACCGCTTTCACTCAGTCAGAAGGAATATGCACCGAATCGATCGTTTATCGTTGACATAAGGGCGAGCATGCGAAGACGACGACTACTGATTCGAATGAGATTCTCGAGACAGAACTCGTCTCCATCTACCCACGCCAGAAGGCACACACGTACCTGAGAATTTTTGGGTTTGGCCGAGAGGTCGAGCGGTTGGTCGACCGGCGTTGCACTGTCCTGATGAGCCTGTACCCCAACGAGACGCGCCTCCCTTGGTGGCAGACACCACTGGGGCAGCAAGGTGGGGTAGGTACCGCTGAGAGCCGCGGCGACCACGGAAGCCGCCATTGGATCCACCTGGACCGACATCGGTGACTCGGCCGATCGCGAGCTGCTGCTGCTGTCGCTCTGCGGACTCTGCAGGACGCGACATCGAGGAACGTTATGCTCAGGTCCGGCTCGTCGTCATTGGTCGACGAAACGCACGGAAAGGAACTGATTACCACCGGCGTGGGAGGGAAGAAACGATCATGGAAAAGGGAACGTCCTCTTCGACGAGGCGGACAGATCGAATCCCGATCAAATTCGTTTTTCACAAGGTACGGGTCTACGACCACCGGTCACCTTCGTGAAACTTTTATAAGGGCGTCGCGTCAAAGCGATCAAAGCCCCGCGGACGCCGGGTACAGGGGCGAGAAATAATAAAAAATTGAACATTTTGCGCCGTATCGCACCCGTCACGCTCGAGAATCGGTAACGCTGTCGCACGACGTTGTCCTTTCCGAGCGATTAATTATGCGCTGTGCGAAGAAGTCCGCGCTTGTTCAACGCCGACACCCGAATCGTACCCACGGAACGCGATCTAGGTTATTCTCGGTCGACGCTACGAACGCGGTGTAACCATAACCATGATGTAACGCGGGATACGAGCCATGAAAGAAAACCGAGTGCAAGTAAAGACGTCACCCTTCTTCGGAAGGTATACTTACGAGGGGCGGTTGATCATCGTGCGGTAGCTTGCCATCCAGACAAAAGTAACACTTGTCTAATGGCTTCCAGTCTTCCGGCGGTGGACTGGTGCGTCGGCCTCCAATAAGAAACGGCGCCACCGCGTTCCTAGCCGCCGCTTCAACCTCCCGACACGGCAACCCTGACCTGGTCCCATCCGAATCTACCGACGGTGTCGTCAATATCGTCGGGCCGCCTCCAGAACCTGGCACTTCTTGGAGCTCCTCCTCTTTCTTTACTCTCAGCAGGCCCTGCGTCACCGGCTGCGTCCGATCCAACGCGACTTCTTCCGTTCGTTCCTACGACAAAAATCCTTCGTTGTGATCCGAGTTATTCGTAATTTCAACCAACGAGTGGGATTGGAAAGGCTGTTACAAATGTGTTCCACCTGGGAAACTTGAATTAAAACTAATTCTATGATGGTAGGATCCGATCAAATTCGACTTCACCTTACACTATCGATCGTTATTTCAATGCACCACCTTATCTGTAATTTTTCCAAAGAAAGAGGATCATAGTTTAGTGATTACCATGCACGACTCGAACTACTAAATATCATACGTCACTATACAGTTGTTGTATAGTTGCTGTCTTTCTCTGTGTCGTTAGTTATGTTAAGGATAAAATAAGCACTGCTGAGGATGGGTATTTTAACGAATGCAAAATTTAAGGAAATCATCTACCCAATTGCTTCCAAACCCTGCAAATGAATTCAAATATGATTAGTCTATTTCAATAAGTACTTCATATACGTTCCTCCTCGAAAAAAAATCACAAATACGATGGTGTATTGAAATTATCATTAAACCTACCGACGTCCATTTGTATTTATTAAATTCTAAAATATTTTACGATTGAATTAAATCGAATAGTGCACGAAACAATTGCATATAGATAATTCATGTATCCTATATTAGAACTATATACACAAATTTGGAAACAGTCATTCGACCGGTCGTGGTAGGTTTAGCGTTAACCCTTTGCACTCGGATGTACCATCTGAGGGGACGTTGGAAATTCAGAGATCAGACAACATTTTCAAAGGCGTACACTTACTTGGATGTTTCCATTCAAGTGGCACGAACAAATAAATCAAAGTAGCATTACAATAAGTTGCATGCTTTTTATGCTACATTATTTAATACAACATGATTCCTCTTCGCGTATTCTGCAACAAAATGGCTTCGAGTGCAAAGGGTGGCGTAAATATAGGAAAACAACGAGGGTACGAACCTTGGTCCCTTCCGTGTCGGTAGCGTTGGCAGTCGGATAATCCCGAGCAGCTCGATCCTTGTCGATTCTGAGAGGGCTGATGGGCCTGTCGGCATCCTGGTCGAGCTTGAGCCGCTTCTCCGCCTCGCTCTGCCCCCGTCCGTCCTCTTCCTCCTCGTTTTCTTCGTCGTCCTCTCTGTCGTCCGTGGCACCGTCCCCGTCGTTCTGCCGGCGTTTGCGTCTTCGCCTGGTCGGAATCGTGGTCGTTCCCGTGGTCATGGTAGCCGTGGTGTTCGCCGACGCGATCGTCGCTATCGTGCCGGTGGCGGTGGTGCTGATGGTGGTAACGATGCTCGTTCCCGTTGTCGCCGTCGTTGCCGCCGTTACCGTGGTCGGTGTCGACGAGTCCGTTGCTTTCGTTGTCGATTCCTCTCGCGCGACGCCGTTCGCGTACTCGTCTTCGCCGACCTCGACCTTTACCTCCTCGGGCCTGAGGCGGCGAGGATCGTCTTGCTGCTGCTGCTGCTGTTGCTGCTGGTAGTGTCGGTGGTGATCCTGGGCCGAGGACTGAAGGTGATGATGGTTCTGCAGAGGATGCCTCTGCAAGCTGTCCTGTTTGACCAGACCCGTCGTCGTCGTCGTCGTCGTCGTCGCCGTCGTTGGCGGTGTTGTCGTCGTCGTTCGTGCAGCCGACGCCGTGGTCGTTGTCGTCGTTATCGTTGTGGGTAACGAGGAGGACGCAGGATGTAGCGTACGCAGCCCAATTTGTTCCAAGTTCCCGGGTACCGGGTCGCAGGACGACGAGAACGCCGAGTAGAGCCGGTGGTGGGGCTGTGTCGTCAGTGATTCGCTGCTGCGAGTACCGCTGTACAGGGTGTCCTGATATTGCTTCCATCTCCTACGGCCCATTAACTCCTCCGCTACCCGTTCCAGACCTGCGACACCACCGCAACTACATCAAACAATGACGAACACCGCTTACCCGAAACCCCTATGCCGGTGTTTCTCAACCTCTTTCAACCGCGACCAAGGGGGTGAAAGTAGCTCCGGTAACACGGAACCGATTGGATAGGAGGAGGGAGTCTAAATATTTTGGAAAAAGATATTCCTCGCTCCTGACTTTCATCTCGATTTTCTGTGTACGATCGTCCGTTAAAGAATCGTCCGCTCGTAATGAAACACGCTGTACGCCGGAGAGCCGAACGAAACGTGGCTGCGACATCGAGGCGAGGGTAGCGATAAATCATCGCGGCCGAGCGAACTAGCGCGAAGTTTCGGGTTCGACGGATCACGGAAAAGCGAGTTTCTCGCGTGAATATAAAGATCCGTTGACCGCGATAATTCTGGTAACGTACGCCGATGTCGGAATCACCAAAATCGCATGCTCGAGAAACCGACCGGATGTGGTGGTTTTTTGAAGGACACAGCGGTAGCACGCACGTCCCAGTAGAATCTGGCAGAATGTCGCAACCAAGAAAATTGCAGCACACGAAATTGCCGGCGCATTACGAACGCGTTTAGTAATATTTCCTCTATTGTTTTTCACCGCGTATCGCGAGGATTACGCTCCCGCTGCAATCGAGTTTCGACCTTCCGCGAATATCGTCCCGTCCCCCGCCGCAACTTTTTCGTATTCTCCGAAACACCGTAAACGCTTGATTCAAACTTGGTTGCATTTGCCACTGTGGCCAACGATAGACGAAGCGATAACAGAATTTTTCCGCTTCTTTATCCAAAGGCCGAATAGTTGAATGTTATCGTTGCGCTCTGACGTAATTAATTGCGAGCAGCGTCGCGACGAGAGGCTCTACGAACGCTAAGCATCATTCTGGACGTATTCGGCCATCCCATAAGTTCGTACCGTAGATTGTGCCAATATTTAATAAAAAAAACTATAGAAATTTTATAGTGACGTTATGACTATGTCAGAAAGCTGCTCTAGGGCAACATATGTAATTTAAAAGTGACTTTTTGAACGTACAATTTCAATTTTACTCATATTAAAATACAGGTAATTATTGATTGGAATAATAATAAATTGAGTCACGAATGTTTGTAGATGTTTCTTTTCGAAGTAGAGGCTTTGGTTTTACAGAAGTTTATTATAAAAATGCACTGGATCTGATTCAATAGAAAATCCATCGAGCGCAAAGGGTTAAGGGTATGTTTCACGTATTAATTTGAGTAGCAGAAGAGTAAGTTGCATGAATTTTTGGGATGACCTAATACATCGTATCGAACAACGGTAACAAACCGTTTCGGAGCCGCGAAGTTAGAGTAAGCGTCACTGGCGGATGGATCGAATCTCTTCGAAAATTTGTGTGCCTTGTACACGTCCATTCGCGAGTGTGGTTTCACCGTAGAGTATCCCACTTTGAATCCGTCAATTGATTCTAAGCAGACACCCGGTACGGTGGCACGCGTCCCGCAAATGTACTATAACTGTCACGCCATTTGGTCGTCGCGTGCGCCACGAGCACATGCCAACCGATGAATGTACGTAAATATATTTGCATGTGCACGTAGGATTCGCGTGCGCGAGAAGATCGAGCGCGGAGGCGATTTTTCATGGCTGCCGCCTTTGTTTCTCACCGGATTGATTTTGTCGACCAGCCAGCGCAGGACAGTCGCGCCGATTAAACCCGGACTCGCGTCATTTCTCGAGGAGCCGAACGAGCCTGGACGCCGAAGAATTTGCAGATTGAATCGCGCTGGGAATCAATTCGCGTGAAACCTATTCGCGCGATCGGAATTCCCGCCTCTACGTCACCCTTTGCACGCTTTTCGATCGAGGCAAAAAGAAGGTTCGTTTCGCTCCCTCCTTGTCGAGGCTCTTCCTTTCCAGCTTCTCGAAATATTTCGCGCGATAAAAACAAAGGGATGCCTTGATTCTCGCTAGCAGTTGGTCGCGTTCGCGTGGTCTGCGGTATTTCTGCGATCTAATTGGTCTAGATCAGGGATGAGTAACTTCGAGTAGCGATATTTTAAGTGTGTTCGTAGTATTTGAATCTTGTTTCAAAATAGAGAGAGTTTCGCGAGAGTTCTAGTCGGAATTATTTGACTTTGTTACTTCGCCACACCCTGTACGTGTCCGCGTTGCTGAAATTTTTAGACTACCGCGTGAAAAAATGTTGGGAAATGTCGTTCGACTAACATTGATCGGGGACGGTGAATTAACCGCTCGCTAGGCCGTGAAAGGAGTGCGCGCAATGAAAAACATCTGAATAAATTATTATTGTTTGTCGAACGTTTCGAACGAATAGCGACGCCCCCATCGCGGTAGCCCATCGCCGTCTGCACGGTCATTATTTAAACGCTCTAGTTCCACGCAGCTTATCAAATACAGGTATAATGCCAGTTTGCGGAAACGCGAACTGGATCTGCGCCGAGCGTCGTCGCCGCCGCGACGTATCTGCTTGCACGCGCGGCTGTCAGAAAAACGTACGGCGAGCATTACGGTCAGGGCTGAGTTTGTACAGGCAGACTTTAAGCGGGGGCTCGATCGAAACGTATTATTTTTTACCCATTCCGGCATGTTTCGTAATTATTTTTTTCTTTTCGGCCACTGTTTACATTCTCGTGAGTTTTAAATGCGCGAACACACGGCTATTGTCGCAGCCTGTGCGAGTACGCGATATTGGAAAAATTATAGCTTTTCACGCGAGCGAGTTGGATCGGTTTCCTTCGATCACGCGTCATCGAAGCAATGCATACGATAGACCAGCGTATCGTACACAATGGTTAGACGAAAATATTGTAGTATCGCGTCCCTCGTACGAATAAGGAGTCAAACGAAAAGCAGTCGACCGTGGATCCCGAGATCGTGGATTCGAATCAACGTGACTTATTTTTCGTAGAGACCACTGTAACATTCTTTAATTCGTTCTGTGAATTGTTGTACAGTTCGATTATCCGCAAACAGCGGATCGTAGACCGACGACGCGGATCAAAGAGACGACCAATCAGAGATCGGTTTGTTTTACAGTGGGCAAAATGTCACGCCCATTGCGATCGAAAATTTTAATAATGCATTGCGATCGAAAATTTTAATAATGCATTGCGATCGAAAATTTTAATAATGCATCGACACGAGGAACGTAAATTGCACAAGTAAGCGCAATCGACGTAATACGCTAATCGGTGTATCGAGGAAACCTCAAACTTCTTCGTAATCGAACCGAGCGTGCACCAAGACAACCGCAGCAATTATACGAATCATCATCTCACGGGAACGTGCTGAACACCAAGGTTGTACGGTGAGTCATGAAAATCTGTCCAGGATAAGACGATTGCCGCACGAAATTTTTCTCTGCGTTAAATTTAACCTTGTTCCTCGGTGACGTCAAATGCAACTCATCTAGCACCACTATCGCGGACGATGAAACGAAACGCGATGCATTTGTCATACGCGAGAGGTCAGACGGGGGAGCGAAGTGCAAAAGTTTCTTTGTACGATGACGTTGGCTTGTATCGAACGAGAATTAATAACGAAAACGGAAATGTATACAACGTCGATTATCCGAAAAACCGGTTATTGCAACGTAACATGAAACTAAGATCTTGTTAACTTATCGTCGTGCTGTACGATACTAGGAACGAAAAGACTTGGAGATTCGATTGGACGAGGCCGATTTTGATTCCACGGTGCTCGTAGAAAGGCGAGAAACAATTGGCCCGGAATGAAGTGTAGGTACACACCGCAGTCGATGCGCTTTTGATAGGAAGCGCGAGTTAAGATTCCCCTTTTTCCTCGAAAGGTCTGATTAACCGCGTCGGAGTCTATCTCTATCTGCGTCTACTGGTTGCAGCATCATCGACCTTGCATGTAATCAATGGGCTCCGAAGAGAATAATCCGGTTGGAAAGGTAGTAATCGCGCTTTTTCCTCTCACTCCGTGTTCTTCGTCGAGTGGGCGGCGAAACACGGGATCCGGATTTCCAAATGAATGAACGTATCCAGCAAAACGCAACGGTATAGCAAACGGAGTGAAGAAAGAGAAACAGCTTGAGACGGAGTGTCTTTTGCAAGGCGTTTCCTAATGACGTAAACTGCACCGAATCGAGAGGGACGGATTTGTCGTCGTCGTTCATGGTGTCGGGAGCGCGCGTTCCGAGCAGCGCCGTCTAATTGGTTAACTTTCCAGGCAAGAAAAATCGGAGTCGGGCGAAACGTGTGCCGTTGGTTTTCAATCGTTACCAACTCCGCGACTTGACATTTTCCGCGAACAGCATCGTCCAAAGAACGAGCGGCTCTTCGTTGGATATTCACCGCGAGCAAAGTTCGAGTCCTTGATCGATTTCAGAAGTAATTAGACGGCTGGCGCGCCTCTGGATGAAATTCCAGGCAGGAGGTGCCGAACCAATCTTATCTCGCGTGCCATTTAAGAGGAAGAAGAAGTAGGGCAGATGACCACGCCCGGGATTAAGCCAATGACGCAGACTTGGCACCAGGAACTTCCCCCGGCGACGTACGAAACGATCGTTCCTTCCACTTTCGGATTTTTCCAACCGTTAAATTGTTTCACGAGGGAAACTACAATTTTTCGACGCTTCGACATTTACTCGTGGTAGAAGCGAACTTCTCGATTTCAGGAAAGTGTGCCGTATCGTGTTGTAGTTTTTGCCTGAGAAAATATCACGACGATCGTTTACGTAACCAGCTTCGCGAATTTAAATTTCAGACCAATTATAATTATTCGCGGGTTCCAAACGTGGATTTGAAACTGATAAATATCGATTCACGTGATTTTATTTAGTTGCGATCGAGGACGTTGCGCAACGAAGGGCTAAGGCGAGGCGAGATTTCGATGGAAGTCGAATATAGCCTACAGCATGTTCCACGATAATAAGAAATGAAATCTCGTTGGAGCAGAAAAATGTGCGCGCGTCCGCAGAGCGATCTCGTCGGTCGTTCTGTTGATAAATCGAGAATCAAA